ACAGACAGGACACCTCTTGAGATTTGCTCCCTAGAAGTTCATTCCACCAGATACACCCTGAATCATCATCCTCAAGTTCAAAGTTTCACAGATCTCCAGGGCAAGGTCACCCTGCAGCCACGTTCTTTGCTACAGCAAAACAAAAGTAACCCTGGCTCCTGTTCCCAGTAAGTTCCTCATTTTCATCTGAGACCTCATAAGCCTGGCCTTCACTGTCTCTCCTTCTGTCAGCATTTTAATCACAACTATTTAACAAGTCTCTACAATGGTCCAAACTTTCCCTCATCTTCCTGTCTTCTTTCAAGTCCTCCAAACTCTCCAACCTCCGGCTGTTAGCCACTTCTGAACTTGCTTTTACATTTTCAGCTATCTTTGTCACAGCCTGGCAATGTAGAAGGAAACAAAAGTCCATTTTCAGGGGCAAACTTCAAGAAGTATTCAGATACTTGTATTAAAAAGAAGACCAGTATTAATAGCCAACACGATGTGGAAAAGTAATTGAAGGCATTTCATAGCTTCACTTTGCAGTACTAATTTTCTGTATGATCATAACAAAAGGGGTTTAGTTGGCTTATGGTTCTGTAGGCTGTAAAGAAAGCATGTAACTTCTGCTTCTGGGAGGACTCAGGAAGCCTCCCCATCATACCAGAAGGATAAGCAGCAATAAAATGTTGCATATGGCAGGAGTAGGAGCAAGATAGAGAGAGGAAAGAGGTGTCACACCCTGTTATACAACCAGATCTCATGAGAACTCAGTATCACAAAGTCAACATCAAGAAGATGGAACTTAACCATTGGTGAAGGATCTGCCACCCAACACACCTCCACCTCCTACTGTTTCCAGGCAGAAGCCTGATGCAGAGGCAGAGGCTATTGGAAAATCTCTACTAGGGCAGGGCAGAAGGAAAAGATGGGCTTGGGGCCCCTAGGCAGGAGGCCACCATCCTCCAGACCCCAGATTCAGAGACCCACCAACAGTCTCACCCTCAGTATGGAAAAGCTACAGGCACTCAAGACCAGCCCAGCCCATGAGAGTAGCCATGGGGGCTAAAGCCTGCAAAGCCACAGTGCTCTGTCCTAGTAGAGGTCTTCCATGAGCCTCTGCCTCTGCAGCAGGCTACTCCCCCTTCCTACTACCCACCACCCTCACACCACCGTATGGCCAGCCTACTCCTTCCCACCCTCCCCACCCCTTTCTCCTTACACCCCCACCCACCTACCATCCATGATTAAATCACCTCCCACCAGCCTTCACCTCCAAAATTTGGGATTACAGTTCCACATTTTTCTAGGGAAACACAGCCAAACCATATTATTCCGACCTTGACCCTTTCAAATCTCATGTCCTTCTCACAGGGTAAAATACAATCATGCCTTTTCAAAAGTTTCCAAAAGCCTTAACCCATTCCAGCATTAACTCAAATATAAAAAGTTCAAAGTCTCATTTGATACAAGGCTACAGTCTCTTTTGCCTGAGTCCCTGAAGTTAAAATGGAGTGCTTTTCTTTCAAGGTACAATGATGGTACAGTTATTGGGTAAGATTTCTCAATCCAAAGGGAAGAAATTTCCCAGAAAACTAACACAAATGGGACCACAGGCCCAATGCACATCCAAAATCCGGCAGACCAGTATTCATTCAATCCCACAGCTAAAAAATCATGAAGAGAACTATCAGAAGGACAGCATTAAGGAGATGGCGTTTAACCATTTGTGAAGGATCTGCCCCCCACCCCTGCCTTTCACTCCCAACCCCACCATAATTCCCCCTAATTTACCCCATCACCCCTCCTTTCAACCTCCACTCTCCACCATGATTAAATCACCTTCCACCAGCCCCCACCTTTAACATTTCCCATTACAATTCCACATGAGTTTTGGTAGGGACACAGGGCCAAATCATATTATTCTGTCCCTGGTCCCCAAATCTCATGTCTTTCTCACATTGCAAAATACAATGATGCCTTCTCTATAGTTCCCCAAATCTTAACTCACTCCAGCAAATGTCCAAAGCCCAAAGTTTCATCTGAGACCAGCATACAGTCCCTTCTGCCCATGAGCGTCTGAATTATAAAGCAAGTTAACTACTTCCAATGTACAATGATTGTACAGGCAATGGGTAAGCATTCCCAGCCAATAGAATAAAAATGCCAGAACGAAAAACAAACACCAATGGGACTCACAGGATACATGAACGTCCAAAACCCAACAGGCCATTCAATCCTACAGCTCCAAAATCATCCTTTTGGAATCCTTGCCCCACATCCACGGCAGAGGGGTGTGAGGGCTGGGCTCCCAAGGCTTTGGGCAGATCTCCACCTGTGGGTTTGCAGTGATCAGCCCCTGCGGCTGCCCTCATGGACAGGGCTGGTGTTGAGTGTCTGCAGCTTTTCCACACTGAGGGGGCAAGCTGTTGGTGAGTTTATGAATCTGGGGTTTGGAGGATGGTGCCTCCCTGTGTGAGGGCTTCAACCCAATACGTCCCTTCTTTGCTGCCCTAGTAAAGATTTCCCATGAGGCTCTGCCTCTTGGAAAGGTTTCTGCCTGGACACCCAGGCTTTTCAGTACATCCTCTGGAGTCTAGACGCAGGCTCTTAAGCCTCTAGTCTCTTGCTCTGTGCACTACTATGTGGAAGCCATCAAGGCTTGGAGCCAACTCTGAAGCAGTGACCCAAGCTGTACTGGTGTATCTTTCAGCCATGGCTGGAGCTGGGGCTGCAGGGATGCAGGCAGAAGTGTCCTGATGATGCCCACAGCAGTGAGGCCATGGAGCTGGCCTGGAAAATCATTCTTCTCTCCTCCGCCCCAGGGCCTGTGACAGCAAGGGCTGCTGCAAAAGTCTCTGAAATGCCATCAAGCCCTTTTCCCCATTGTCTTGGCTATTTGCACTGGGCTCTTTTTTATGCAAATACTCTAAGTGTTCCCTAATTTTCCTCCTGAAAATCAGCTTTATTTTTGACCATTTGGCTAGGCTGCAAATTTTTAAAATTTTTGAGCTCTGCTTCTTATTTAAATAGAAGTTGCAACTTGAGGTCATTTCTTAGGTTGCACACAAGAACACAGGCTATTTGACGCAGACAGGACACCTCTTGAGCTATGCTGCCTAGATGTTCATTCCACCAGATACATCCTAAATGATCACCCCCAAGTTCATAGTTTCACAGATCTCCAGGGCAGGGTCATGGTGCAGCCACATTCTTTGCTAAGGCCAATCAAATGTAACCTTGGCTCCTGTTCACAGGAAATTCCTCATTTTCATCTGAGACCTTTTAAGTCCGGCCTTCACTGTCCATCCTTCTGTCAACCTTCTCATCACAAGTATTTAACAATTCTTTTCAGTGGTCCAAACTTTTCCTCATCTTGCTGTCTTCTAAGTGTTCCCAACTTTCCCGACTTCTGTCTTTTACCCACTTCTGAACCTGCGTCTACATTCTCAGCTATCTTTGTCACAGCCTGGTAATGTGTAAAAGAAGAAAAGTCCATTTTCAGGGGAAAATTCACGAAGGCTTCAGATATTTTCATGAAAAGAAGCTGAGTGCTGGTTGCCAGGACAATGGGGAAAAGGCCTTGAAGGCATTTCATAAATCCACTTCACAGCACTAATTTTGTGTATAATCATAAAGAAGAGAGGTTTAATTGGCTTACTGTTCTGCAGACTGTAAAGGAAGCATAGTGGCTTCTGCTTCTAGGAGGACTCAGGAAGCCTCCCAATCATACCAGAAGGCCAAGGGGCACAGAGATGCTTCATATGGCAGGAGTAGGGGCAAGACTGAGAGAGGAAAGAGGTCCCATACCCTGTTATACAACAAGATCTCATGAGAACTCAGTATCACAAGGTCAGCATTAAGAAGACGGTGCTTAACCACTGGTGAAGGATCCACCCCACCAACCTCACTTCCACCACCCACTGTTTCCAGGCAGAAGCCCGCTGCACAGGCAGAGCCAGATTCATAGACCAAACAACAGCTTGCACCCTCACTATGGAAAAGCTACAGGCACTCAACACTAGCCCAGTCCATGAGAGCAACTGTGGGGACTAAAACCTGCAAAGTCACAGGTGCACTGCCCTAGAAGTTTTCCATGAGGCCGTGCCTCGGAAGCAGGCAACTCCCCACTCCCACTACACCCCACCCTTCCACTACCCTACAGCCAGCCTACTCCTCTCCACCCTACCCACCTCTTTTTCCTTCCACCCCTACCCACCTTCCATCCATGATTAAATCACTCCCACCAGGCCCTCATCCTTCTGTCATTCTCTAATCCCTCCAAACCATCCCAATCTCTGTTTGCTACCCACTTTCAACCTGCTTCTACTTTTTCAGGTATCTCTATAGCAGGTTGGCTATGTAGCAATAACACAAAACCCGATTTAAGGGGGAACATTCAAGAAGACTTCAGAAATTTGCATATAAAGAAGTCCTGTGCTAATAGCCAAGACAAATGGAAAAAGGCCTTGAAGATATTTCACAGCTCTTCTCTGCAGTTCTAATTTTCTGTATTATCATAAATAAAAGAGGTTTAATTGACTTGGGATTCTGCAGGCTGTGAAGGAAGCATAGTGTCTTTTGTTTCTGGGAGGAGTCAGGAAGCCTCCTAATTATACCAGAAGGCCAAGGGACAATGAGCTGTCTCCCATGGCAGTAGGAGCAAGACAGAGTGAGGGAAGAGGTTCCACAGCCTGTTAAACAGCCAGATCACATGAGAACTCACTCACTGTCAAGAGGACAGCATCAAGGGGATGGTCCTTTATCATTTGTGAAGGATCTACCCGCACCATTTTATGACTAAATCTTTTTCCACCTAGGCCCTGCCTCTAACATTAGGGAGTATAATTCCACATGGGTTTTTGTAGGGACACAGAGACAAACCATATTATTCTGTCCCTGACCCTACAAATGTCATGTCCTTTTCACATTGTAAAATACAATCATGCCTTGCCAGCATGAGTCTTAACTCATTTAAGCATTAACTCGTTTCAGCATTAACTCAAACTTACAAAGCCCAAAGTCTCATCTGAGTCAAGGCTACAGCCTCTTTTCCCTATGAGCCTCTGAAATAAAAAGCAAGTTCACTGCTTCTAAGGTACAATGACGGTACAGGCATTGTGTAAGCTTTCCATATCCAAAAGGAAGACATTTTCCAGAAAGCTTCTTATTTCTATCTGAGGCCTCCTCAGCCTGGCCTTCACTGTCCATATTTCTGTCAGGATTTTTGTCACAACCATTTAACCAGTCTCTAAGATGGTCCAAACATTTTCTCATCTATCTGTCTTCTTCTGAGCCTCCAAACTCTTCCAACCTCTGTCCATTGCCTAGTTCCAAAACTGCTTCCACATTTTTAGGTATCTTTATAGCAATGCTCCAGTCCTCATTTGCCATTTTCTGTATGATTTATTTTGAAAAAGAGGTTTAATTAGCTCATGGTTCTGCAGGGTGGACAGGAAGCACGGTGGCTTCTGCTTCTGGGAAACCTCAGAAACCTTTCAATCTTCGTGCAAGGAAAAGAGTGAGTTGTCTCACACGGCAAGAGGAAAACACACAGAGTAGGAACATGACACAGAGTTTTCAATGAACAGGTCTCATGAGAAGTCACTCATAATTGTGAGGACAGTAGCAACGGGATGCTGCTAAACCATTCATGAGAACTTTGCCTTCAGGATTCAATCACCTTAGACCAGGATCCACCTTCCACATTAGGAAATATAATTCAACAAGAGATTTGGTGGGGACACATACTTGAATTGCATCATCAATCTTTGAATATAAAGACATCCACAGCAGGCTTTATCCAGCCAGCTTCTTTGAGACTCTTCACAGGGTTTGAGGTCTACAGCATATAAACTAAAATATTCACACTTCAAAAGCAATAAAATAAGTGGTATCATTCTTCCAAAAATTACAATGGTAGTGTAGGCATTCATAGCCTGATTTAGTTCATGTTTGCTGCTCTTTCTATTCTATCACCATATTAACTCTTTCCTACACAATTCTGTATTCAGCTGAGTTTCAGTTGAGAACAAAACCATCCTTGTCCTACCACCAATAGCTGGCACTAGCTCTTTGCTAGTGTTATTATTCTGCTGTAGAAACTATCCTTGAACTGGAAACAGTCCACAAAGGAGTATCTAGTCATTCAACACTATCAATTCCTGGGTGACTTTTTGAAAAACTAGTATCTCTTGTTGCAAGAAATACTGCATCTGCGAGTCCATGTCTCTCATTTGAATTGGATGGAAGCAGTGAATTTCAGCCAAAGTGGCCACAAAAATCCTGTTCCTGTGATTCTGGCGTCATCAGCCTCTGCACCTCTGTCTTCCCTTCTGCCACATGTTGCCTGCTCTGCATGACTTTGGTAAGAGCTTCCTTGTGTATATGGATGATGTCCAGGATTTTGGTCTGGTGTCCCTGAGACAGCACTAACAGGTCCATGACTGGGTCCAGGTCCTGCCTGGGCTGATTGGCAAAGAGCCAATCAGTGTTGAAGGCATCTCTGGTGAAGTGATGGCCTGCTCCAGCTCCAAGACCTGGCTGAGGCTGAAGAACTGGCCACCTTCTGATTCTCTTTCTTAAAGCCCATCACCATCACCTGCTTGCATGTCAACTCATTGGCTGTGAAGTTGAGCTGAGTGCCCTGTTGTCCATCTTCCTGGTAAAGCACTCAAAGCCATCAATCTTGCTCTCTCACTTCTAAAGGTTGAGCCCACCTTGGAGGTGGGCTCAGCATCAGGAAGAAGCTGGAATTCACCATCTCATCCTTCTCAGCCTTCCTCTTGCCCTGTCTCCAGGCTGTCTCTTCAGCACTGGTGGGGCACATCAGGAAGTGATGGAAGATGTGGCACTGTGCCCGCACCCAGAAGCTGGCCGTGTGGTTCACCCACCAGACTGGGCCCTTTCTGTACTTGAGCATAGAGTCCTCCTCAAGATGGTTTGTGGTCTGCCTCTTGGCACCAAAGAAGCCCACAGTGCTGTAGGAGCCCTGATGCATGGACCAGAGCCCCAAAGGCAGCGCACACCCTGCTCCTGAGCCTGCTGCTCATTTTCTCTATGTGGCTCCATTTGTAGCATAGTTGTTGCACTGAGGCCTGTGCATGCCAGGCAAGGCCAAGCTGGCTCAAAGAGCAACCAGCCACCTCTGCAAGGGTGTGCCAGGAGCAGGTAGATCAGCCACCAACCTCACTCGCTGCCAGTCAGGGTAAATCAGTTATTCCTCCCTGGAGGTAGGGCCCCAGTGCCATCTGCTTTTCCTCAGGCCTCCGCTCCATCAGCCATCAGGTGGCAGCTACTCAGGCTGTGGGAACCTGGCCACTCCTGCTTCCTTAAGGGGGTGAGGTTGGTGGCTGGTCCACCTTCTCCAGGCATACCCTTGCAAAGGTGGCTGGTTTCTCTTTGAGCCAGCTTGGCCTTGCCTGGCATGCACAGGCCCTGGGTACTGACAGGCTGCTCTGAGTAAGCTTGTCCTGTCTTGGGCCAAATTCTAAGTCTGGCCAGGGCCATAGAAGGCTGAGTCCCCTGGGTGGTAATCCTGGTTGCTGCTGGGGGCCCATGGTGCCCTTCACCTCCCAGGGCGCAAGATGAGGCCCGACTGGGCCAGGACCCTTTAGGTATGGATCTTATTCCCCAGGAGGGGGCCTCTGTCCCACAGGTTGGGTGAGAAGATGTATGGCATGCTGCTGGCTGCCAGGGTTGTCGGGATGCCACGTTCACCTTTCCCTCCAGGGATATCAAAGTGACGAGCTTCCCCTTTGAGAACGACTTCCCAAGGCCCAGGTGCCATCTGGGGCTGCAGGGCAGCTGTCCGCATGCTGCCCTGGAGGCTTCCATGTTGTGCTCATCACTACCCATCAAGGGGAGTCAGATGCAGCCACCATGCAGGGCAGTTGTCTCTAGATCTGCTTCTTGGCTATCATGGAGCCAGACTGGGCCTGGTGATAGGGCACTGATGGGGTTGTCCTGGTGGTCCTTGGGGGGGGCCAGAGGAGATGCAGAATGGAATTGCTGTGAGGATAAATAAGATGACTGTCAGCACAGAACAGGCACCTGGTGAGTGCTCAGGGATTACCCTCAGTAGCTGCCCAGAGGCCAAAACCACCCACCTGATAGCGACTGTCCCTAAGCCAGGAGGAAGAGAACAGAGCAGGTTCCACTCACCTGAGTCTGATCAGTCAGCTGTGCTGAGATGTGCCTTTCACCTAGAAAAGAGTCCTTCACACAGAGCCACTCACGGATACTGCTGTGTGTCTCTAACTGCTCCACAACACAGAGGCAATGGGGGCTCAGCAACAGTGACATCGTGGGGTGACACAACCCACCACAACTGGAGCCTGCTTGGGTCAAGAGGGCCCAGAGTCAGTGTCCTCTATCCACTGAACTGACATGTGTGCATGCAATGTGTTTGTGCATCTGTGTGTGTGTGTACATATGGGTGTGTTTGTTTGTCTTGCTTCTCTGGCCAGACCTAGCTGCTCCACTCACAGGTGCATCCAGGTCCTCATCACTGTCACCACCAGGGCGCAGGGCCAGCATTACAGCCTCCACAGGTGCTCCCCAATCTCTGCCCTCCCCACGGAAGGTGGTCCTGGGAATGCAGACAGAGGAGGGGTGCCGGACAGAGCAGAAAGGGCTGGCACCCTCTCTAGGTGGAACCCAGGTCAAGTGTAAAGTTCTAGGTCTGTCAAGCAGTGTGGATTCAACATATCTTCTCATGTACTCTTTCTAGCAACCCTCCAAGGTGCCCTGACCCAGCTTCCCTACAGATGGAGGCAAGGAGGATCCACAGACAAACCCCTTGCCTAAGGTCACACAGCGGCCAATTGGCCAGGTTCCTACTGACCAGGCACCCTTAACCAGGTACCCACTGACGAGGCCCCTAATGACCACTCCTCCATTGACCAGGTCCCACTGACCAAGTCCACACTGACCATGTCTCCATAACCAGGCCCCCATTAATAGGCCTCATGGACCAGACCCCACTGACCAATTTCCCACTGACTTGGTTCCCACTGACAAGACCACAATTTACCAGGTTGCTGCTAACCCCACCTCCACTGAACAATTCTCCATGGATCAGTCCCTAGCTGACCGAGCCCCCTCTGACCAGGCCCTCACTGACCAGGCTTCAAGCCACTAAGGCCCCACACTGACCATGCCCCTAGTATACTGAATAGACCCCATCAATTGTTTATGTTCCAGCAGTTCAGGTTCCATGAATAAGGCCACCACTGACCAGGTCCCCACTGACTAGGCTTCCAATGACTAGGTCACCAGGTTCCCACTGGTAAGGCCTTCACTAAGGAAGCTGCCACTAACGTGGTCCCTGCTGATCAGGTCCCAACTGACCAGGTCCTGATGACCAGGTCATCTCTGACCATGGTCCACTGATGAGGTCCTTGAGCAGCTGTGTTCAAAGTCTCATTACAATGCCCCCATCAGCCCACAGACCCTCCCGCCCTGTATGTGTGCCCAGAGGTCAGGCACTGGGGGTTTTCTTGGGCCCCAAGGCCTCTCCTCCAAGACACAGGGAGAGACAGTCAGCCTCAGGCTCCAGGTGCCCAGCTTCATATTCACCCCCCAAGGCACTCTGGGTCCATCTCAAAGGAGACAGTGAGGTGGCCTGGCACTGCCTGGACACGCCACCTATCCTATTCCAGAGTGTCAGAGTGCGAGGAAGGGAGAGACATTTGGCAGAGGAGACACCCTGTGCTGCTGGGTCTCCCAGGGCCCATCTCGCAGAGCCCCAATCTAGAGACACAGCACAGAGGCTGCAGGGAGACTAATCCAGAACCCTTGAGGCTGAGCCAGGGACCACGTCAGGACTGTCCCCAGATAGCCAGAAGGCCCTCTGCTAGTTTCTTGGTACCTCAGTGGATGTAGCAACAGTTCTTCTGTTGGAGACTAGTGAGTGCATGCTGGGGAAGACTCACCTGTGCTTCCTCGGTGGCTCCAACTCTGCTTCTAAGAAAAATTACTCATTCTAGGGCTGAGGCAGAGAAAATACAAGATTAGTTTAGAACATCTTATGCCAGAAAGTAAAAAAGTGCTGACAGAGTAATGGGGACAAATAAGAAGGACATAAAGTCAGCTTGAAATGTCTACTCCTGGCCTAATCTTGAGGAATTGGAGCACCAGAATCATGAGCTTTCCTTTCTCCTTTATTTACTCGTTTTATTTCTCCATGTAGAACGAAGAAGAGAATAAGAAAATAATCATCTGGCAACCATCACAGTAATACTTGTTCAAAGACAAGTCATCAATGAAATGCTAAATCTAGTGGGTTTTGAGGAGTAACCAGTGTTTACAGAGCCTCAAAGTATCTCCACACAAAATACTGTTGAACTACAAAAAGAAAATCATAACATTAGTATGGATGAACCTGGCAGGTACTCCTTAAGTCTCCTACTATATGTAGCAATAAAAACTGTAAAATGAAAATAAGCCTTTGATGACCTTTACTAAAGTATCAATGATGACTTGGTTGTTTGGCTGTTTAAACAACTGACATTTGGGCAATTTGAGTATGCCAAACTCAATGGATCATTTGCAAGATCCACTTAAAACTTAAGGAGGTGAAGAAACATCATTTAAAATACCATAAAAATTTTCATCATACATATGATATGAAAATGTTATATATTTATGAAAAACAATTAAAATTTCATGTAAATGGCCCAGTGATAAAGTTTTATGATCTTTTAAATCACACAACTTTTCTTTAAGATTTTCTGGTTAAATATCCTCTTCATTAGATGTGGCTTACCAGTGGATTCTAGAGAAGAAAGTAGACCGGAGCAAGTGCCCAACACATCAAAAGCTGGAAAGAAAAAAGAAAGAATTATGTTCTTTACCTAAAACATTTCAGTTAACCAAGTGTAACTTTAAAATGTAAAGCATTGAGAACGTTATCAGCGTTAATAAGAATGAGGAATATGTATGTACAATTATAATACAAAACTACTATTAAATAATTTATACATGGCATTAATTCTAATTGTGGTTAAATATCACAGCTTTTTCATTCTTCATTCATGTACTCAACAGCCACATGCTAAGGTACTAGAACTAGCACTGGAATTACAAGATGAAGATGGCATGGTCCACCTCTCAACAGTCATATGCTATAACCTAAAAAACAGACAGGCAGGCAATGTCCATATAGAGTCACAGATACCATGACAGGTATACAGCAGGGCACTACTGGAACACACAGAAGGGACACCTATTTCACTTTTGTGTCAATATCATGGGCTTTCTGGTGGAGGAGATGCATAGGTTGATGCCTGAAGGACAAAGAAAAGCTTGCCAGATAGAGGAAAGAGGCGAAGGCAAAGAGCCTGATGTGAGAAAGAGCCCTGCAGAGTTCTACTCCGTCCACTTTGGTGCTAGAGCAAAGGGCAGAGTGCGGTAAGTGGCAAGAGACAAGGCTGAGTAACTAGACAATTACATTGACATGGGTGTTTTTATTTCATGGTGAAAATTTTAGAACTTTTCCTGAGAACAGATGTAAGACAAGTCAATGACACAGTAAACGACAGGAGGTTTAAAATGCCACCTGTCAAGTGGCTGCTTATGAAGGGTTATTGCTCAGCTAAGTATTTCTAAGTGAGTCTGAGGTCTGTTGGCCTTCAGTCTGTACCAAAACCCTGAGAACCTGACGATGCCTTTGTTTTCTGAGAATCATTTCGGTGTGCTGGCTGACAGTTCCATGAGGATGGCAAAAGTGAAGAAATTGTAGAGCCAGTGAAAAAGAGATGGATACACTTCTTGGGAATTTTTTAAGGTATGTAACATGATGAATTAACAGTGCATAAGTATACTCTTCACTGTGAAAGTTTTTATTTTCACATCTTTCATTAGATGTGTGTAAGAAAAAGATACTGTACATAGTATCTACTAACCCACAATGAAAAGGAATGCCATTTGCTATTTACACTTTATTACTAAAGTAAACCTAAATTTAATTAATAAATTTTGGCAACATACTTTTCTTTGTTTCTCTAATTATTTGTTCTACACAGTCCGGCTCCATCTAAAATAAGTTTAAAAAAATAATGTTTAAGTTAAACAGGAGACATTATCATGAGAATAAGATATCACTTACAAAATGTGGCCTTTAGAATTTTTAGTGACTAGACATAAGTTTGCTTAGACAGAAAAATAATCACATAAGTAAAATTTCTACTTATTTTAAGTTTAGATAATAGAGGCTGTATCTGTGTAATGCTATTTAGAGTAATCTGACAAAAATAGATAATATTGGTCTATTGGATATACATAATTTTAGAAAGGCTGGTCATGGCGGCTCACACCTGTAATCCCAGCACTTTTGGAGGCAAAGGTGGGCAGATCACAAGGTCAAGAGATCGAGACCATCCTGGCCAACATGGTGAAACCCTGTCTCTACTAAAAATACAAAAATTAGCTGGGCATGTTGGCGCATGCCTGTAGTCCCAGCTACTCAGGCGGCTGAGGCAGGAAAATCACTCGAAGTCAGGAGGCGTAGATTGCAGTGAGCTGAGATTGTGCCACTGCACTCCAGTCTAATGACAGAGTGAGACTCGGATAAAAAGAAAAAAAAGGTTAAACAATTAAAGTCATATTTTGCAATGAATGCACTGCTTTGAAATTCTTAGCAAAACTCTGCCCTTTATAAAAAGTTTAATCATTTTTTACATCAATAAATTTTTTCTTAAAAAGAAATTTCTATTCTCTACTTATAGAAAAAATATTTTTATAGTACATTTTTCTTTTATTTTCTAGTTTGTATTCTAAATTAAAGTGGAACCTGTGTAAGTTTATTCCAAAGGTATATTGAGGGATGCTGAGGTTTAGAGTACAAGTGAACCCATCACACAGGTAGTGAGCATAGGACCCAAGAAGTAGTTTTTCAATCCTGGCCCACTCTGTGCCTCCCCGTTCTTATTTCCCAGTGTCTACTGTTCCCATGTTCACGCCAACGTACACCTAATGTGTAGCTCCCACATGTGAGTGAAAACAAGATATTTGGTTTCTGTTTCTGCATTAGTTTGCTTAAGAGAGTGGATTACAACTGTATCCATGTTGCTGCAAAGGACCTGATTTTGTTCTTTTCATGGCTGCATAGTATTCCATGGTATATATGGAATTTTCCAATCTACCTTGGATTTTCAATCTATGTTGGGTGCACCTGGATTGACTCCATGTCTTTCTATTGTGAACAGTGCTGCAATGAACATACATGTGCATGCATCTTTTTGTTACAATGATTTATTTTCCTTCAGGTATACCCCTAGTATAGTAATGGGGTTGCTGTGGGTGGGATTACAAGTGCCTGCCACCATGCCTGGCTAATTTTTGTAGTTTTAGGAGAGACGGGGTTTCCTCATGTTGGCTAGGCTGGTCTCCAACTCCTGGCCTCAGGTGATCCACCTGCTTTGGCCTCCCGAAATGCTGGGATTACAGGTGTGAGCGACTGCACCTGGCCAAGCGCAAAGCTTTTAACAGAAAAATGGAAATGAACCTTTCAGTGTTTTGTTTATTTAATTCATAAAATGCACTTATTTTGGATTCTATTAAATAATAAATATCTATATGTGGTTAAGTGTTTGGTTGCCAGTCATTAGTCATTCACTTGTGATTATGGGTGGGAAGAGTTATGTTGATCCTTCTTAGTTCTTAATTTCCAAACTGCTCTCCATAGTAGCTGAATTAATTTACATTGCCACCAACAGTGTGTAAGTATTTCCTTTTCTATACAGCCTCCCTAACATCTGATTTGTTTGTTTGTTTGTTTGTTTGTTTTTGCTTTTTAACAGAAGTTATTCTGACTGGTGTGAGATGGTTTCTCATTGATGTTTTGCTTGGCATTTCTCTGAGGATTAGCAACGGTAAGCATTTGTTAACATGTTTGTTAGCCACTTCTATGTGTTCTTTTGAAAAGTGTCTGTTCATGTCATTTGCTCATGTTTAATGGGGTTATTTATTTTTTGCTAGTTGATTTGTTTAGTTTCCTTATGGATTCTGAATAACAGGCCTTTGCTGTGTGCATTGTGAGTGAATATTTTCTTCCATTCTTTAGGCTGTCTGTTTAATTAATCCCTTGATAGTTTCTCATGCTGTGCAGAAGCTCTTTAGCTTAATTAGATCAAACTTGTCAATTTTTGTTATTCTTGCAATTGCTTTTGAGGACCTAGCCATAAATTAAGTGACAAGTGCAATATCCAGAAGAGTGTTTCCTAAGTTTTCTTCCAGGATTTTTCTAGTCAGAGGATGTACTCTTAGGTAAGAAAAGTCAAAGTCTTTTTTTTTTTTTGAGATGGAGTCTCCCTCTGTCACCCAGGCTGTAGTGCAGTGGCATGATCTTGGCTCACTGCAACCTCTGCCTCATGGGTTCAAGTAATTCTTCTGTCTCAGCGTCCTGAGTAGCTGGGATTACAAGTGCTTGCCACCACGCCTGGCTAATTTTTGTATTTTTATAGAGATGGGGTTTCATCATGTTGGCCAGGCTGGTCTTAAACTCCTGACCTCAGGTGATCCACCTGCCTTGGCCTCCCAAAATGCTGGGATTATAGGCATGAGCCACTGCACCTGGCTAAGCACAAAGCTTTTAACAGAAAAATGGAAATGAACCTTTTAGTGTTCTGTTTATTTAATTCATAAAATGCATTTATTTTGGATTCTATTAAATAATAAATGTCTGTATGTGGTTAAGTGTTTGGTTGCCAGTCATTCACTTGTGATTATGAGTGGGAAGAGTTAAGATGGTGCAAAGAAACTTTAAAAGTGGTATAGGCTGGGTACGGAGGCTCACCCTGTAATCCCAGCACTTTGGGAAGCTGAGGCAGTTGGATCACAAGGTCAGGAGGAGTTTGAGATCAGCCTGACCAATATGGTGAAATCCCATCTCTACTAAAAATACAAAAATTAGCCAGGTGTTGTGGCAGGCACCTGTAGTCCCAGCTACTTGGGAGGCTGAGGCAGGAGAATCACTTGAACCTGGCAGGCAGAGGTTGCAATGAGCTGAGATCGCGCCACTGCACTCTAGCCTAGGCAACAGAGCAAGACTCCATCTCAAAAAGAAAAGAAAAGAAAAAAACATGATATGAACCACAGAGAAACTACAATCAAAGACAAAGAATCTCAAAGTATACTGTCAGTTTTTAGGCAATAACATGCATTTTCTAAAACCTAACTTAAATGCAGCTTTTAAAGAAATTTTAAATGTGTCAGTTTAGTCACATTTATTGAACAAAGTTAGCAATGGGTATCTCTTGAAAATGAGAGCTCCAGGGAATTAAAAAATGTAAAGTTCCCATTTCCTTTCTGTGTTAACACAGCTAATTATAATCTTTACTTAACATGCATAAGTCAAAAGAACAGCTCAGTATTTCACCAAATTATAAACAAGAATTATATCAAAGAAATGAAAGCCAAAAGAGAAACGGTCATATAACTAACCTCAGTCAAGGAGTTCTTGCAGTTATTTGAAGTCTGTGGGTTTGAAGTAGGAATTCTTATGGGCGTTTTGGGAATATATTTTCTGTTGAGTCCTGTACTATTAAGATTTTCAGCACAAGGTAACTCTGGGTGTGGCCTCGTAGGAAGAGTGCTGAGAAAATATTTCATCCGCTCTTTCTCCATAAGGAGCTTGGTGTTGATCATTGCTATTTTCTTATTCGATCTGTAAAGATAGCAAAGACAAATGCTTAGTATTTCATTTTTCCTTGAATGATTCTTAATGACTTGCATTTTTTAAAAAGTTGCCCTGAGAGTAAACCAAATTACCCACTCAACAGTGTTTTCACACCAAAGATGTGTGAGAGCCTACCTCTTGTAAGCAATTGTAATTTTAAAATTATTCTAAATAAGTATATGTGTTTCTAAGGTGATTTCTACTGAACAAGCAGTTCAAAGGAGGGAAAAGAAATGGCTATCACTGATGTACGGCTCAACAGGTAACCTAGCTGCCTTCTAAAATAGCTCTACTTGTAAGATTCTACAGATTCCATAGAAATATTTGTATTTAAAGGGTAATATGTGGGACAATGAATATGTTAATTTGCTTGACTATAAGAACGACTTCACTATAAATAATTATACCAAACATCATGTTGTACTCCTTAAAGAATGTAGATTAAGAAAACTAAAATGAACAAAAATAATCTAGAAATACTTGTGTTTAGTAAACCAGTTTCAGGTTTCACCCTTGTACATTTCACCCGAGATCTAAGAACAATTGAGTATTTGGCACTGAGGAGTAACTCAGAGCAACAACTCCTGGGGGAGAACCAGATTGGTTGGTTGGTGATCAAAGAGAACTAAAGCATCTCTGAAGGCAATTAGCCCCCAGCACTGTGACCAAGGCACTGCAGGTGGGGCTTGTTCTTTCTGCCTTCCACATACCCCTTCAGGCTGAACATGGTGTTTTTCTTTTAACCACCTTGTGGATTATACTTCTTTTCATTCCTGTGATAATTATTCCATATTTCACAAGGATGCCTTTCTGTAACTCCTTGAAAATGTTACACAAATAGTCTTTCTTGAGGCACCCTCTAGTGATAACACTAAAGATCACAATCAATAACAGTCCCTGCCTCAGCGCCAGGATGTGCCCAGAGTAGCAGTACCACTTGACACTTTGGGTTTAGGTTATGATCTACCAAAAAATAAATTAAACTCATTAATATTTCTATTTAGGGAAATTCTGACAAGTAATTTTTATAACAAGATCACTTAATTAATTATAAAGCTTCAAAAACAGTGAAAAAACCCAACAGATCAGGTTAACTACATGAGACTTTTCAGGGGAAAAAAGCCATACAAAAGCAAAAAAAAAAAAAAAAAAAAAGAGAGAGAGAATAGAGACAGCAACTATCCTTGATGAACATTTTAAAGGTAAGATTACTTACTAACATTATTTTCCAAAATTACATTATCAGATTAGCATTCACTTCCTACTGATCTCCTGAAGTCATGTCACTAAAAATTATGCTTGCAAAACAAATTAATGAGTTTAATTCGTTTTCTACGAGTGTATGTTTTGACTTACTTCATTATTTTTTTTGACATGGAATTGTTAGCTTTCAATGTTGCTGCAAAGGCTTCCTTATATTCTTCTAATTCGGTTGTAACCTCTTCATAAGCAGTTTTCATTTCGGAGAATTTACATTCCACATCTTTAAGTGTGAGTTCCTTCATATTTAGTGAAGCCGTATTATCCTTGTTTAACTGCTCTAATTGTTTTTCATACTGTGCTTGTTCCTAAAACAAATGAAAGAATACACTTTTAAAACAATTATTACCTAATTACCATGTTTGTGGTCTTTCATTTTGAGTCAGTGATTCAAAGAGCAATTTTTAATACATTAAAAAAAGAAGCTGAAACTTAACATATTTATCAGCAATATCAACAAAACTAATAACTGAATTCAGAATTAAGTCTAATTTAAATAAATTTGAAATAATAATTATGTCAGTATTAATGTAATCTAGTCATATAAAAATAATAGAATCCATTTATAATTTAAAAAAGTGAACAATGAACAACATAGCTTAAGACCAATTCAAAAGTATCACATAATTTCTAAATCACAGTTTTCTCTTATGCCAACTGGTCTTAATATTGAAATGACTCTATAGTGAGAATCATTACTTTTTTTTTTTTTTTTTTTGAGACGGAGTCTCGCTCTGTCGCCCAGGCTGGAGTGCAGTGGCCAGATCTCAGCTCACTGCAAGCTCCGCCTCCCGGGTTCACGCCATTCTCCTGCCTCAGCCTCCCGAGTAGCTGGGACCACAGGCGCCGCCACCTCGCCCGGCTAATTTTTTGTGTTTTTAGTAGAGACGGGGTTTCGCCGTGTTAGCCAGGATGGTCTTGATCTCCTGACCTTGTGATCCGCCCGTCTCGGCCTCCCAAAGTGCTGGGATTACAGGCTTGAGCCACCGCGCCCGGCCGAGAATCATTACTTTGAAAGATGAATTTTGTTATAAAAATAATGGAAATTTAAATATTTAAAAGAAAAAAGATGCCACTTTTTTTTCTAGAACCCTACAAAGGAAATTGCTGTAAGAGAGGCAGAGGAAACACAATATATACATATCCAAAATATAATTTGCAGTGAAACAAATGAAAGCACATTACAGATAAACTTACCTGACTTTAAAAACTAACCTGTAAATGGATTTCTTCTAATTTTTCTATTATCTGCATTGTCTTTTCATCTAGCTCTGATTTATATTCTTGTGCTTTACCAAGTTCTACCATATTGTTTTCCATATGTGTCTTAAGAGTTAATACTTCTTCTTCCAACATCTTTTTATCCTCCTCAAGTTTTTCACATTTCTCTTGTATTTTTCTCATAGATAAAAACTCTTGTTGAAGAACTTGATTGTCTTTAGCCAAATTGACACATTTTGAAGATACAGCTTCCTTCTCGGCCATAAGATCATCGAACTGCATGAATAAAATAATAGAGCTTGATAGGGAAGTAGGCTGCGAATAATCTAATACAAAACCAATAGCAAATTTTGAAATGCATTTACTTGCAATAACATGTTATCAATAATGTAGCACAGTCTTCAAATGTGAACCCTTAAATTACTCAGAATTTTAAGAGCGAAGTTAAAGCTACCATGAGTCACAAAAATACACGCTCTACTATCATCATCTTTGCCACAGAACATCTGCGCTTGATCTTTTTATTTTCCCGATGATTCGTTTTTGTTCCTCCTGAAACGGCACTGAGTGGTCTCTTAGTGAAAAGTGTCCAACCCCTTCCCTCATGGCCACTCCCCAAAATTTGTCAAAAAAAGTTTCAGAGCTATCACATTGAGTTATTTAGGCCAAAGTGATCTCTTAGTGAAAAGTGTCCAACCCCTTCCCTCATGGCCACTCCCCAAAATTTGTCAAAAAAAGTTTCAGAGCTATCATATTGTTATTTAGGCCAAAGTCAATAAATGGCTCTCAGAATAAGACTTTGAAAATAATATAATACTCTAGGCTAGGCCTGGTGACTTGTGCCTGTAATCCCAGCACTTTAGGAGGCTGTGGCAGAAAGATCACTGGAGGCCAGGAATTTGAGATCAGCCAGAGCAACACAGTGAGACACTCATCTCCACAAAAAAATTTTAAAAAATTAGCCAGGCATGGTGGCTCAGGCCTGTAGACCCAGCTAGTTGGGAGCCTGAGGCAAAAGGATGGCTTGTACTCAGAGTTCAGGGCTGCAGTGAATTATGAACACATCTCTGCACTTCTGCCTGGATGACAGACAAAGACCATATCTCAAAAAACCACAAAATAATGAATCCTGAAAATAAGGATTCTGATGCCATAAGGCTTTCCCTAAACTGCAAATATTTCATGCTAATTTGAATTGCATTTTAAGAAGTAATGATTCTTGGGGTAAAGGCCATAGAATACGGCACCTAGAAATAAATCCACATATTTACAGCCAACTGATTTTGGACTAAGGTGCCAAGAACATACATTAGGGAAAGGACACCCTCTTCAAATGAAAGGCACTGGGAAAACTATCCATATGGAGAATGACACTAGCTTCCTATCTAACACTATATAGCGAAATAAACTCAGAATCAATTGAAGACTGAAATGTAAGGCCCAAAATTATCAAACTACTATAAGTAAACATAGGGAAAATGCTTCAGGACATTAGTCTGCACAAAGATTTGTATGGGTAAGACATCAGAAGCACAGGCAAAAAACAAACGATAGACAAACAGTACTACAACTGAGTGAAGTGAAAACCTATAGAATGGAAGAAAATATTTTCAAGTTTTTCATCTAATAAAAGACAAATATCCAAAATAAACAAGGAACTCAAATACCCTGAGAGTAAAAACAATAAACTGAGTTCAAAATTGGGCAAAAGATGTGGTTAGATATTTCTTCTTTTTTAAGGAAAAAAAAAAGAAATACAAATGGCCAATAAATACATTTAAAAATGTTCAGTGTCATTAATCATTAGGGAATCAAACCTACAATGTGATATAATCTTGCTCCATTTAGAATAATTGGCTATCGAGGAAAAGACAAAAAAAAAATAACAAACGCTGGTGAGGTTTCAGAGAACAGTAAACTCTTACATGGTGTTGGTGGGAAGGTAAATTAGTGAAGCCACTTAGAAAACAACATGAGGTTTTCTCAAAAAACTAATAATGGAACTGTCGAGGGGTCCAGCAACCCCACTACTGGGTATCCAGGCAATAGAAAAGAAAACAATAGATCGAAAGGATACCTGTCCTCATAAGTTTATTGTAGCACTATTCACAACAGCTAATGTATAAAATCAACCTTCATGTCCATCAACAAATGAATGGACAAAAAATTGTGGTACACATGCACAATGGAATATTATACACCATATAAAAAATGAAATCCTTTTATTTGTGGCCATGTGGATCAGTCTGGAGTATGTTACGTTAAGTGCAGACACAGAAAGATAAATACTGTACATTCGCACTCATGTGTAGGAGCTAAAGAAAAATTGAGGGCTGGGCGACATGGCTGATGCCTGTAATTTCCTAGCACTTTGAAAGACCAAGGCAGGAGAATCACTGGAGACCAAAAGCTCCAGAGCAGGCTGAGCAACACAGAGAGACATCTCTACACAGTGAAAAATCAGACAGGTGCAATGGTGCATGTCCACAATCCCAGCTGCTCAGGAGGCTGAGGTGGGAGGATCACATGAGCCCAAGAGTTTGAGGCTGCAGTGAGCTATGATCAAATCACTGTCTCTGGTCTGGGTGACTACAGTTGCCTGGAGAGCAGAGGACACTAGCAAGACCATGTCTCTTAACAACAGCAAAAAAGCACACAGAAGTAGGGGAGGGGAGTCTGGTTAATGGATACAAAATCACAGTTAGATAAGAGTAATAAGTTCTTGTGGTCTGTGGCATTGTAGGGTGAATGTGGTTAACTATGGTTTATTTATATTTTTAAAAAGCTAGAAGATTTTGAAAGTTCACAATTCAATGAAAAATGGTTGAAGTAGTAAATATGCTAGTTGGCTTGATCTTTACACACTATACTCCCGTATCAAAGTGTCACTTTATAGCCCATAATTATGTATATACTTGTCAATTAAAACAAAAGAGAAGCTATATTCATCCCACTAAAAGAACAGAATATGGGCCATCCTTACTGACTTCCTTCTAATGAATAGAATGCAGTAAAAGGGATACCATGTGGCTTCCCTATCTCAGACTGCTTTCCCTTCAAACTCAGCCCCCAGATTGTGAGAGAGATCAGACCACAAAGACAGATTGGGAGTGCCAGTGTCAGTGTTCATGCTGCCTGCCCCAAGCAAGGTTCCAGCCAATGGCCAGCATCAACCATCAAACACATGGGTGAGCAAAGGCTTCAGATGATTCCATTTCCCCAAGTGATCAGCTGTTCCTAGGGAAGCTGAGGGGAGCAGAGACAAGCTGTCCTGGCCAACCTTTTTCCAAACCACAGGTTGATGAACAAAATTAATGTTTTTCTGTTAAGCTAAAAATCTCTGGGTAATTGTTAGAAAAATACGTTTTAAAAAGAGACAACAGGAAACGTAACATGCAGCAGAAAAGAGTCTCCTTTAAAGTAGGATCTAATAAATGTTGAGATTAATTTATTGATGACAAACATTATTGAGAAGCAGCAGATAACCAGGAGAGAGACATAAGCAGATGAAGAGGAACTTTTCCTAAAACTCCTTTCAATTACGAACTCTGATAACAAGGCAAGGGTGTCTCCTTACAATTTCCCCTCAACTCACGAAATAAGACTGCGAAGCAAGAAGACATATGATTTGAAAAACAACTAGAAATACTTGGTTACATAACCAAAATCAGACATTTACCTGATTTCAATTAATGAAAATTCTAAAAGAAGCAGCTTTGAGTATTTATTAATCAATCTAGTATTCAATTTTCATTTTCCTTTTTCTCAATGAGGCAATAAGAACATTATGGAATGATTTTTAGTCTTCACAGAAGTAATATAAACATAGTGTGCTTTGAGTGTTAAGACATCAAATGCAGTTTCTCCTTTACTCCAGGCTTGTTTGTATGGAGAAGTTAAGATCGTCTGCTCTCTATGTTACACCACAATGCTTCTCTATAGCACAAAACTCGCCTCTGAAATTTTGAAATTCAAAATACTAATCTACTATTTGTCTCTGATAAATTGCCTGAACATTACCTGATTTTTAACTGCTGCACTCCTAAAACTTTTTCTTGGAATGAGCTAAACTTTTTATTCCAAGAATCGTCCACTGAGCTGGAAAGCAGAGCTGTGCATCTCTGTTTCAGGAAAAGGAGGTTTATGCAGGAAACTGTGGTTTCTGAGAATGCAAGATCTGCACCAAAAAAAGGATTAGCCACACAGTGCTACTCAAGAGAACCAGCTACCACATGGCAAGAGGATCTGCGAACTGGAAGATGATGACTTCACTTGGTTTCCACTGAGGAAAGCTGGCAGCTCAGACTTAAACTTCTCCTTCCTGGATGGTAAACATCTGTGGATGATTCTATGAATTATAATGAGTTAGCAAAACATAATGCACTAAATAGTAGACTATGTCAGCAGATCCTGTGACCAAAATTTACTGAAAATGAAACTATAGAGGGAGGCACTGGATAAGAGACTGAAGGTTTGAATGAAGAAAAAAAGAAATAAAGTGTGTCTTGTAAGCCTGACTTGCCATCATGTCTTAGAGTAAGTAAGGTATAAGCTGGCCACAGACTTCTTTAAGACACAAAAGGTGAAGTAAATATTCCACTACATTTAACTTTTATTATGATATAAGACAACTGGTAACATGCAACATGCTTGGAAAAAATCTTCTCATTAAATTCGATTTGGTCCTGGTTTAAGAATAGACATAAACAAGCTAAGAATTGATAATCTAAAAATAAACTTGCACATTTACAGTCAACTGATTTTATACAAGGTTAACAAAAAAATAGAATGGGAAAAGAATAGTTTTCAACAAATGGTGTTGGAACAACTGGGTATGCATGTGAAAAATATATATATAAAGTTGGATTCTCACCAAATACCATATTTAAAAATTAACCCAAAATAAAACAGTTAACTGTAACAGCTAAAACTATAAAACTCTCAGAAGAAAATATTGATATTAATTTTTGTGACTGCATTTGGCAGTGTTTTCTTAGCTATGACTCCAAAGGAAAAATGGATTCAATGGAATTCAAAATTGAAAACCGCTATGCCTGAGAAGATAGTATCAAGAAGTGAAAACGTAAGACACTGAGTAGAAGAAAGTATTTGAAAAGCATATATCTGATAAGGGACTTACATATATAGGATATATAAAAAATGCTTGCAATTCGTAAATAACAAGATAACTCAATTTAAAAAATGGGCAAAGATTTTGAATAGATATTTCTGCAAAGAAGACATAAAGATGGATAATAAGCACATTAATAGATGCTTAATGTAATTAGTCATTAGGAAAATGTAAATCACAACCAACTTGTGGTATCACTTCACCCCACAGGATGAAACCTTCGTTCAATAAAAAAGAGAAAATAAGTGTTAGGAAAAATGCAAAGAAATTAAAACCCTTATCCAATGCTGCTGGGAAGGTAAAGGGGTGTGGCCACTTTGGAAAACAAACTGGCAGCTCCTTAAAAGGTTAAGCAAGAAGTTACCATATGACTCAGAAATTCGAGTCATAAGCATATGCTCCAGAAAAATAAAAACATATGTAAGCACAAAAACTTATACATAAATGTTTACAGCAGCATTATTAATAAGAGTCAAAAAGTGGAAAGAACCCAAGGTCCATCACCTCATGAATGGATACATAAAATGTTTGATTTATCCATACAATGGAATATTACTCAGGAGAATCTCCAACCGGGCCCACAAGTGTCTACACCGGACAAAACATCTGGTGTAGATAAGGGAACCTGCACAGGGTTTTGCCTGGACATGCCAGCAGCGGACCAGAGGCCCACATGCACTGGGGGGTTGGGGTGGAGCCACCAGGAATTCATGCCTTATGCAGAGGAGGAGCCTGGCCTCTTCAGCTCATGTGTGCTGGTCCTGGTATTCAATTGTGAGGTGGAAATCTGATTGCAGGACCCTTCTCTTTGCTGAGAGCTTTCACTTAATAAATTCTGTCCTCCTCACCCTTCAGTGTGTCCACGTGCCTAATTTTTCCTGATCATGAGAGAAGAACCCAGATTTAGCTGAATTAAGGAGCAAAAACCCTGCATCAATACCTGCTATAGCACAGATGCATCATGAAAAATTATGCTGAGTGAAATAAGCCAGTCACAGTAGACCACTTGCTTTTTATTTCAGAGGCTTATAGGCAAATCTATACAAAGAAGGTAGGTGGTTACCTAGGGCTGAGGGAGGAACAGAAAACTAGTGAATATGGCTAAATGATATGGGGTTTGTTTTTAGGGTGATGAAAATGTTCTAAAATTGATTGTAATGATGACTGCATAACTGTCTGAAAATACTAAAGTCAATGAATTGTATATTTTAAATGAGTGAACTGCATGGTGTGTTAATTATTTCTCAATAAACTTGTTACACCCTGAAATTTATTTGGTACTAGTGATCTGGAGACATGGGCTGCTTGGTTTCAGACCACTGGCCAGGGTTCAAGACATAAGAGAATCAACAGCATGTCTTTTGTATAGAAATATATATATATATTTCTATTATATATATTATATATATTTATTTCTATTCTATTATATATATTATATATATTATATATTATATATTCTATTATATATTATATATATTATATATATATTTTGTATAGAAATATATATATTTCTATATATAAATGGTGAGAAGGACAGAATTTATTAAGTGAAATGAAAGCTCTCAGTAAAGAAATATATACATTAAAGTATCCTTTTTATTAGCATCAAGTCTGTAAAATTAAATGAAAAATCTTTCGCCGCTTAAAGCACTGAGAGATTTATATTGAGGAGAAAGACCTTGTATTCTTTTGCCCCAATTTCTATCTAAAGGGTCTGGGAATCACACCCTTCAAACTATCAAATCTCATCAGACAGGTTTTATTAACTCTTATGACGTGGCTTACTTTCTAATGCGATTCTGGTACAGCATCACAGAGAGAAGAACCTGAAAAAAATCAAAGTATTTTACCCCCAAATATATATATTTTTGACATATTTTGAAATGGCTGTTGCAGGACCAAGAAATTGAAATGGCCGTACAAAGCTGTCTTCTGTGGGGGAAACTGCATCTGTAAGAAGTCTTCATTAATGTAGCCCAATCTCTCCCCTTCTAGGTCTTCCCAGATCTAGGGAAGATTAACTAAGAGCCTGATGCATTTAAAGTCTGAAAAGATATTTTTACCCTCTATTTTCTCTGAGGGCTGCCAGCTATGAGGCTTTGTCTACATAATAAGAACCTTAACCTCCGTAACCACCTTATCTTAATTAAGGCCTTCCTTTCTACCTATTTCCAGTTTTAGACAACAGTTTTCTTTACCAATTGTCACCTAAAGAATCCAGAAAACCCACCTATGACTTGTTAGCCCCTCCTTTTTGATGTCCCACTTTTAGGCTGAGCCAGTGTCTGCCTTCCTCATATTGATTTGTGATTTTCCCTATACCTTCTGTCTGCTGGAAATGTGCAAAACCAAACTGTAATCTGACTGTCTCATGAAACATTCTCAAGAGCTCTTGAGATTCAGTAATCCAGGGCCACTGTCACCATATTGGCTCAGAATAAACTTCCTTAAACATATTTTGGTAGAATTTGGGTTTTTCCAGCACTAATATTTCCCCAAATTACATGAGTTTTAATCCCCAATCTGATTTAAAATTACCTTATATTGGAATATAAATTATTCTATTATAAAGATACATGTATTTGTATGTTCATTGCAGCACTATTCACAATAGCAAAGACATGGAATCAACCCAGACGTCCATCAATGATAGACTGGATTAAAAAAATGTGGTATATATATAAATCATGGAATACTATGGAGCCATACAAATGGATGAGATCATGCTCCTTGCAGGGACATGGATGAACTCGAAGCTGTTATCCTCAGCAAACTAACACAGGAACAAAAAACCAAACACTTCATCTTCTCACTTATAAGTAGGAGCTGAATGATGAGAACACATAGACTTGGGGAGGGGAACAACAAACACTGGGGCCTGTTAGGGTCAGGAGGGAGAGCATCAAGATTAATAGCTAACACCTGCGGGGCTTAATATCTAGGTAATGGATTGATAGGTGCAGCAAACCACCATGGCACACGTTTACCTATGTAACAAACCTGCACGTCTCACACATGTAACCTAGACCTTAGGATAAAATAATTATTTTTTAAAAATTACCTTCTGTTTTAGCTTCTTAAACAGAATATCCATTTTCAGTTGATCTGTATTTAAGTCTCCATGGCAACTGAAGTCTTCATTTCCAAATACATTTAACATATTTATTGTCATTTCTAGGCATTTCTTATATCTGCAGAAATGTACAGATTTAGTAAGTCAATTTTTTGTAAAAGTAAATAATAATTGTTTAAACAGATATTATGTTATGGCATATCAAAGAAACAAAGCTATAAACTGTGCTCCTCTCAGTTTCAACTGAACATAGTTTGAAAGCATTCTATATGAAATTATAATCTTAGATAAATAATATGCAGAACAATTTTATGGCATATATAGCAGGTAAAGTGATATTATAGCCGTACAGTTTTGTATTTTTTTTGAGATGGAATTTCACTCTTGTTGCTCAGGCTAAAGTGCAATGGCATGATCTCGGCTCACTGCAACTTCTGCTTCCCGGTTTCAAGCGATTCTTCTGTCTCAGCCTCCCAAGTAGCTGGGATTACAGGCATGTGCTACCATGCCTGGCTCATTTTGTATTTTTAGTACAGATGGGGTTTCACCATGTTGGTCGGCTGGTTTCGAACTCCTGACCTCAAATGATCTACCTGCCTCAGCCTTCCAAATTGCTGGGATTACAGACCTGAGCCACGACACCTGGCCTAACCATACAGTTTTTTAATAAATAAACTATTCATATCCATTTTGGTATGCTAAGATAAAATGACCTATTAGTAAACATAAACCATAACCCAGAGATGAGTAACCAAGATAAAAAATGTAAAACACATATATGTTTGAAAAAGACACAAAAATACATTTTGATACCCGTTGACCACAGTTTATAAGAAGAAAAAAAAGTACACACAAAAAGCATCAAGGAGATCATTCAATGTAGAGAAAGAGAAGTAAGGAAACATCTTTAATATCTGAGTTGAGAAAAAGAAAACAGGCAGTTTTAGAAAAAAGGAAAGGTGGAGACAGATATGTGATGATTTAAAGACTTTGAAGAAGAGATCTAGAGATCTTTACTGACATAATGTCAACAAAATGAAAGAGATACAAAACCATGTAGAGAAAGACAATGACAGAAAAATGTTGATTAGAATCAGAGAACCAACTTAAGTGCTCAGTAAATAAATAGAAAAGTAGCTGTGTTCAGGGTTTCAAAGACACATTCCATTTTTAAAAAATAATCTGTTATCAAAATATGAATGCCCATTTTACTCTTTTTCTTTAGGTTATACATATATTTATATATACATAATATTTATTTCTATAAAACAGAAGTTTAGTAAGATGTATACTTCATGTATACAAGGGAGGTACCCATGTAAAATGAGTAAATTTCCGTATGTTTTATATCTAAAAGAAAAAGAAAGAAGCAGAAACAAAATACAAGCTATATATCAAGATAAATTTTGATGTTAAAGAATGATATGAATAGGTCTTTAAAAAATTTGAATGCAGAAGAGAAGAATACTACGAAAGGAAGAAAACATGACCAAATACAGCAAAAATATCTTCAGAAATAAAAATTCAAACTAGATAATGAAGAGTGCACTTGACATTACATGTCCAAAGCGTTGTCATTATTGTTTTCAAAACCATTAAACAATACGTCGCCAAGTGTAGTGGCTCATGCCAACTTTGGGAGGCCAAGGCAGGTGGATCATGAGATCAGGATTTCGAAACCAACCTGACCAACATGGGGAAACACCGTCTCTACTAAAAACACAAAAATTCGCCAAGGGGGGTGGTGCACTCCTATAATCACAGCTACTCAGGAGGCTGAGGCAGGAGAATCACTTGAACCCAGGAGGTGGAGGTTGCAGTGAGCCAAGATCATGTCATTGCACTCCAGCTTGGCTGACAGAGCCAGACTCTGTCTCAAAAACATAAATAAATAAATAAATGAATAAATAAATAAATAAATAAAAATAAGTGTAACATTTTGGCATTCAAAAACAATTTCAGATTGTGTTGTTTCTTTTTTTCACATATTTTTAATATAAATTTTTTTCATCCCAACCTCACCCCAGCAGCTCATCTGACTTCCGCCCCCTGTTTCTCCCCTTCCATTGGACTCTGTGACACATGATCTCATCCAGAGATCTATTTTTCACCACTTATTGTGTTTTTATGTTGAAATTTGATTTTTTAATAATTCCAACAAAAAAGTCCAAGGGGTCATGGGCTCCTGCTAGTATGCCTATAAAGTTGTGCTGTCAGTTTCTGAAATGCATTTTGAAATAGAATTCGTTCATGAAAATGCTGATATAAAATAAATTTGTGTCTAGGTTTTAGTCAAATAAAGATAGAATTAAACCAATTAATAAATGGTTAAAATGTTCTTCAATATGAAAACCATACCCGGTTGTCTCTTCTTCTAATTCATGATTTTTCTTTCTTATTTGATCCACATTATACTCCAGTGATATTAACTCAAAAAGTTTCCCGAATTCTTCACGTTTTCCTTCAGGCTTGAAAAAAAGTGTTTAAAATTATTTTTATAAAATCTAGAGACCTTCTTCTATCTTAAAAATATTATTTCTCATAAGTTGATGAGTAATATGTATTTAGGCAGGTGTATAAAATGCATTTTATAAACCTGATGCCAAGAAGGACAGATTTCAAAACTAGCCATTTTCTTAAAACAGCTAAAAATGATTCACACTTCCATCATTATCTTTTCTGAAGTTTAAATTACCAAAAATGTTTGTTAAAAATGAGAGTTTTTGCACATGAAATACTAAGGGTTAGTGAAATAAATTGGTGGCTCAAGTCTGTAATCCCAGCACTTTGGGAGGCCGAGGCGGGCGGATCACAAGGTCAGGAGGCGAGACCACAGTGAAACCCTCACTAAAAAAAAAAATTAGCGGGGGTGGCGGGCCTGTAGTCCAGCTACTCAGGAGCTGAGCAGAGAATGCGGAACCGGAGCGGAGCTTGCAGTGAGCGGATCGCCACTGCACTCCAGCTGGCAACAGCGTGAGACTCGTCTCAAAAAAAAAAAAAAAAAAAAGTACTTATATTTACATTTTAGTTTTTAAAGATGCTCTAGAAACATTGTCATTAATAGTTTAAGATATTCCAAGTTAAATTACATCTTATTAAGATGATTTTTAGAAAACTCTTATCTAGTTCCCATTACATTTTTGATCCTCATCTATCTTCAGGCTGAGCTAAGTACTGTCATTCTCTGTACGTATTCACCTGTAGGTTTTAGGTGTCTTTTAACCATTTCTCTTCAAACGAAGTTTATTTTTTCTATAATAAACAAATAATAACTTTTGTCTACTTTTTGTGGCTTTTCTATTATCCTGTTTCTCCCCTTCCATTGGACTCTATGACACATGGTCTCATCCAGAGATCTATTTTTCATCACTTTTTGTACTGAAACTTGAGATAAACCAGTGTACGGCTCTTTAGAGCAAAACCTAGATAACAGACATCTGGGTTGCTTGGCAAAGGTCATGTGTAATTCTGAGTTATGAACCTGTCACAATTTAATTAATTGTTCTGCCTCTGTATCCTTGCTTTTGTACCACTGTAACTGTAAGCCTGCTTCAAGCTAGCCCACCCCCTTTTTGAAGTGTGTATAAAAGTCAAGTGCTGTCTTTGTTCTGGGCCCAGTTTGTCAGATGTTGAGTCTGCTGGGTCTGAGTGCACTCAATAAAGACATCCTCCTGTATACACCCCAAGGTCTCTCTCTGGTCCTCCTGATTCCTTAACAGCACGATCTCCACTCACCACAACCTCCACCTCCCGGGTTCAAGCGATTATCCTTCTCAGCCTCCCGAGCAGTTGGGATTACAGATGCCCACCACCTTGCCCAGCTAATTGTTTGTAGTTTTAGTAGAGATGGGGTTTCATGATGTTGGCCAGGCTGGCCTTGAACTCCTGACCTCATGATCCGCCCACCTCGGCCACCCAAAGTGCTGGGATTACAGGCATGAGCCACCACGCCCAGCTGCTACTCCTCTTTTTACACTCTCTCAGAACTCCTAAAATCTCAAAATGTTAACCCAGATTCCCTAATATACATTTCCAGCTCTGACCTTTTTACTGAGGACTCTTCCTTCTAGTACACATATTGTAGACAATGTTGCCAACCACACACTCATATATTGCTACTCGGTGCAGATTAGTTTAGTAGATAGTGAATCTTGTCTATTTTATGTTGATTCTTATTGATGTTACTTTGAGTATAGTGTTATTTTCTAATCTTGAAGGGGAACTGTCTCACCCTTAGGATATTGACCAGTATACTCTTTTCTTTTCTCTTTTTCTTTCCTTTCCTTTCTTTCTTTCATCTCTCTCTTTCTTTTCTTCTCCCTTCCTTCCTTCCTTCCCTCCCTCCCTCCCTCTTTCTCTCTCTCTCTCTCTCCTTTCTGTCTTTCTTTCTTTTCTTTCTGTTTTTTGGAGCAGGGTACTTTGTCCTTTTTTTCTTTTTCTTTTTTTTTGAGATGGAGTCACACTCTGTCATCCAGGCTGGGGGGCAGTGGTGCCACCTCTGCTCACTGCAACTTCCACCTCCTGGGTTCAAGTGATTCTCCTGCCTCAGCCTCCCAAGTAGCTGGGACTACAGTTGCACACCACCACGCCCAGCTAATTTTTGTATTTTTTAGTAGAGACAGGGTTTCACCATGTTGGCCAGGCTGTTCTTGTACTTCTGACCTCAGGTAACCCACCCACCTCAGCCTCCCAAAGTGTTGGGATTACAGGCGTCAGCCATGGTGCCCAGCCCTTTTTTTCTTTTATAATGAAAACCTTCCCATGAGAATCAGATTATCAATTGTTTGCCTTTGCTTTCTTTTAAAGAATGTCCTTTTCCATAGAGATAGGGCATGATGAACATCTTGTTCTAAAGTTTCTTTTGGGGGACACTCAACTATATCATTGGGAAGCTCCAGTCAAGTACAGATCTCCCTTCTTCCTAATCGAGATTCTTCATCTCAAAATGGTGTCCACCAAATGTCTTATCCAGGTAGTCTCTTGCTTAGGAACTCATGAAATAAGCACCTTCAGGAGAAGTTAGAGGCTATTGATTGAGATGGTTTAAAGCTGTCCCTTATATGTTTTACTCCCAAGGCAGACATCAAAGTGGCTAATAATTCTATGCCTGATGTCTAACTAAATTCTGTGGGAATCTATACAAAATATTTTATTTATGAGACAGAGTCTCGCTCTGTTACCCAGGCTGGAGTGCAGTGGCTTGATCACTGCTCACTGCAGCTTTGATATTCCAAGCTCAAGCGACCCTCCCACCACAGCCTCCCAATGTAGCTGGCATTAGAGGCATGCACCACCATGCCTCAGTTAACTGTTAAATTTTTTTTTTTTTTTTGTAGAGACAGGGTCTCACTTATGTTGCTCTGGCTGGTCTCCAATTCCTGGGCTCAAGCACTGTTCTTGCCTCAGCCTCCCAAAGTGCTAGAATTACTGGCATTAACCACCTCACCAACCAGGTGTTCCATGGAATGGTTTGAGAGGCAGTTCTACACAGAAGCCAGAAGGCCTGGGTCTGAATCCCAGCTCTACCAGATACTAGCTGTGTGACCTTGAGCAAATTAATTTTCTGTGTCTCTCGTTCTTTATCTATGAAATGGAGAGAATAATACACCTACTTCACTGGGATGTTGGGAAGATTAAACCGGGGACTGACATGAAGCACTTAGAAGAGTACATGGTGCATGGTGAGCTACAGATAAGATTTGCTTAGAAGCACTTAGAAGAGTCCATGTACATAGTGAGCTACAGATAATATTTGCTATTAGCATGGTAATTTTTACTTTTTTATATCTTGACAATTGTACACGTTAGGCAGGTGGCATTCCAACGGGAGTGGTCTCCTAGAGCTGCACTGAATCATTCTTCACACCACTGAAAGCGGCAGCAAATGGGGAGTGCATAATTTATAGCTTACTTTTCTCTCCATATGACTCAGTGGGCAACAGTCATGTACGTAGTACAATGTAAACAGCACCTCCTGGATGGAGTAATACATAACCGACATGACCAGCAGAGACAGGCTGAGCCACGGAGCTGAAAACCCTGGACTCTATTGCTAAATCAAGGCTTCTGAATCAATTCCCTCCCAGAAGCTGTTGCTGTGGCACTGCTTTCACGAGTACTCTGCTGAGCGCTCGGATTAAGGGGCTGTGCTTTCATCAGACAAGCTGCACCCAGAACTGTTCAGCTGACAAACTGGCAACCATCCAGAAATACAGTTTTGGCTAAATAGTGAAGGAAGGCAAATTTAGATTCTTTTTTCATACTGAGAAAAACATGAACATTTGATTGAACAATTCTCCTCTATTAGACTAATTGGTTTTAATTTCATATTTAATTGCTAAAAATACACTTAGAATAAAAGACTTACTGTGTTAATGTCTCAAAGAAGAAATCATTGGTATGGTATATTTTGTTCTATGCTAAAAGCTGCCAAGCTAAAATATTTTCAATTTATACAAGGATAGGTGACATGCATGTCAGATATTATTTTCCCTTTAAGCAAATTTATGATGAGACAAAATTATCTTCCATTAAAAATAAAAGCCATGTCAAATTAAGGGCTAAGTTATTCTGCAGACTGGGCAACGGGTGCTGAGATATAAGGTCAGTGAGAGTCAGAACAGCCAGAGAAAGATTCCTGAAGAGGAAATTGCCTGCCAGGTCTGAATGAATGAGGCTAGATGAGCAGGAACTGAGAAGGCAGGAAGGACAGCATGGGTAAAACTGGGGCTGACATCTGCCCAATTAACGCTAGGATAAAGTCCAATGGCAGAGAAATAAAAACATACATCCATACAATAACCTGTAAATGAATGTTCACAACAGCTGTTTTCATAATAGCCAAAAAGTGGAAACAACCTAAAGGTCCATCAGCTGACGAATGAATGGAAAACTGGTGTAGCCATGAAATAGACTATTATTAGAAAATAAGAAGGAAGAAACTACTGATATGTGATACAACATGGATAAAATTCTGAAAACATTCTGCTAAGTGAAAACAGCCAGTCAGAAAGGACTTCATATTGTATGACTCTGTGTATATAAAATATGCAGACCATACACATCTATGGAGACAAAACGGGATGGTGGTTGCCTACAACTGGGGTAGATGGAGAGACATGGAGAGTGGTTGCAGTCACGGCTAAGAGATGTGGGGTTGCTTTTCAGAGTGGTGAAAATGTTCTAGCATTGATTGTGCTGATGATTACACAATGCTGTGAATATACTAACAGACACTGAGTCGTACATTTTAAATGGTTGAACTGTCTGACATGTGAATTATCTCTCAGTGAAACTGTTTTTAAAATCCCATGGTAGGATCAAGAAAATTTTCTCAGCTCTCTATTTTGGATGTACATACTCTATCAGATCTGAATATTTTTATGCCATTACAGTATATTTTAAATGAAATGAAGATGAAGGCAATGCCTAACTTTTCAAGTAGTTTGTGAATTAATCTAAAACGTGTGCATTTCAAAGAACAGTATGATGACCTTTCTGTACAAGTTAACCTAGAATCCATGAAATGAATAGGCACAGCTTCTGTGTCCATTCACAAAAGTGAAGAAATGAGACAACTTTCTGGAACATTCCTTTAAACATTCTCCTCTGACTTAATCTGGCTTGCCTCACCAAGGCAATAAGGAAATTATCTAAAAATACTGTTTAACAGGAAAAAAAGTCAATTTTCTGTGAGGAATATTGTATCATTCTCAACTTTCCCAAGAGTAAATATTGTAAGAGAAAACATATGCAACTATTTTTCAAAATGGTAGAACAAGAGCCAGAGTTGAAGAAATAAGTACGTTATAAAGATAATAAAATGGTGATAATTATAATGAAAATATACAACCAGGTGGTCCACTGAAATTAGTATCCTAAAAGACTTTATATTATCCAACCAGCTACAGATTAACTGTCTACATGTTAAATTCCACACATACTTGACTTCCTACTTGAAATAATTTCTTCTTTGAAGCCCGTGTCTCATCCAAATTAATGTGACAATGTGATGTACCTTCCAGTGGAGAATCTGACATAGGAAATTTTTTAAGGTGATTGGCCAGTTCTTCTTGAAGTTGTCTCACAATCACCTAATAAAATATTTTTGTTACTAATTTTATAAAGTGTCTTATTATTAAATATGTTAATAATATTTAACTTAGTATACATACTTTGAAAATTATTACCACACATACAGATTCACTTTCTTTTCCTCATACGTACACATTCTTCTTTATTACTGAATTCAGTGAGGGGCACAGAAGGTGTTATCTTCCTGCCAAATCATTCTCTTACATGACAGATGGATTTAGCCCGCTATTCATTCACCTTAGACCCTCAACTCAACCTGAGTTCCTCACATATTCAGTTGCCTGTTGAAATCCTTCCAACAGATTCCTATCTCAGAATAAAATTAAATTTCCAACGGCCTTCAAGGCGCTAGGTAACATGGCCTCTAACTCCCTCCCTGACCTCAGCTCCTACATCTGTGTCCCGTACTCACTTCCATCCCATTCTCCATGAACTCTGCCACCCCTTATTAGTCTGAAAATGGGGATTCAATGTCAAACTCATAAATCACAGACAGTTACAAGTATCTTTGTACTGGAAAGAGTTATGTCCAAATGATAGTCATTGAGACTTAAAATGTAAATTATGAGCTAATTATTCATAAAAATATTGACAGTAAATTATAAATACCTACCAGTGGGAACATTACATCAAAATTTTTTTGGCTAAAATTTACCACATTTATTCCAAATTGTGATTTTATAGCAAGTAGATGTCTTTAAAATTCTAAGTGGTCAGAAAAATGCATAATGTGAGACTGACCTATTTTCAGACTTAAGTCACATTGGTACGAATCAAAACAAAGTTATAACAACTAAAATACATAAAAGAGAGAGCCACTGAAGGAAAAGCATCACAAGACACAGCAACACACTTCAGTTCATCTGGGAAATCTAGAATTAAATGTCAAAGCAGCTCACTTAATTGAATCTTAATTTCAAAATACATATTTCAGGTACAAGCATTTCCATTTACCTGCTTCATTATGGTCTTAAAATGTGGCAACAAAAAGACATTAAATTTATTATTTCCGCAGTATAAGACTGTATACCTTATCAACATTGCTCTGTATCTACTAAAATTTCATAGGTGACATGATGTCTTTACTCAAAGTTAAGCATCTCTCAGCTCTATTTTTTATTTTTTGGAAACAAAGTATGTAAGTATGTTTCCAAGCTGATACAGTAAACACTTTTTTTGGTTTTTTATTAAAACAGTTTTGTTGAAATATGATTTATAGAATTTATCTATTTTAACAAGCAGTTCAAAGATTTTTAGTAACTTTACTGTGTCGTGCAACCATCTCTACAATTCAACTTTAGAACATTTTCATCACTGCAGGACAATCCCTCATGCCCATTAGCAGTCACCACCCATTTCCAGCCCCAGGCCTACACAAACATTAATCTTCTTTCTGTTCCTATACATGTATTTCCTGGATGATTAATACAAATGGAATTATACAGTATAGTAAACACATTTTCATCTATTTATTTTTATATTTAACTAGGTTAAACATATAGCCAGAATGAAATGTTTAAATTTTCTTTCCAGAAGGTTAAACATAGTTTTTTTCATACTTACTTCTTCTGCTGCTTCTTTCTCATACTGAAACAGTTTTTCTTTCAAATAATTATATTCATTCATTAATTCCTTATTTTTTTCTTCTAGAAGAAGATCTTCCTTTCCATTATCAAGACAGTCTTCTTGGATATTAATGACTGCCTCTTCATTATTGCCTTCCTTATAAGCATCCTTTAGTTGTTGTTCAAGCAAGAGATTTTCAAGTTCTTGTTGACGTATTCTCTCCTCTAAAGAGTTCTGCTTTCCAATGGAATGACTCTCTTTAGCTTCCTCACTTGGATGCATCTGCTTCATTTCCTTTATTTGATGCTGTGCTTGCTTTAGATAGCTTTTTTGATAACTTTGAGAATCCTAAATAAAACAAAACAAACTTTTAACTAGTATTCAATAAAATAACATATCAGGGTTATTTCTGAAGTGAGAGAACAACCTGTACATTCATGCAATTAAAAGTTGCTATAAGTGGATATCCAACTGGAGAAAAAGTTGAAGCAAAACCTTGAACCTTAGAGAACATACATTTCAAAAAGTTCAAAAGTTTATTTGAAGTCAATGGATCCATAAAAGTAAACACACACACACGCGCGCACACACACACTCTCTCTCTCTCTCTCGAGAATTTTTAAGAATATCAGAATTGGAAAAGCCTTTCTCTGAATTACAACAAACTCAAAGCATAAAGTTAAATGCTAAAAAATTTGACTGAATTAAAATCTTGGAAAAAGAAAATTGCATTTATACTCTGATATCTAACCCAGACACCACCCCATAGTAAGAGCTTTACCTCTACATCTATTTGGACAGATAAAATCTCTCAAAGTTTTGAAAGTTCTGTTTCCCTGATCATATTGTATTGTGATTTGACTAAACATTTTTTAGTCAGTTGTAAGAACTACATTTACTAAATCATAAATCTAGACATTGTACTAAGCACTTCTACACACATACATTGATGAACTTATTCAGTTATCACAATCCTTAAAAAAGAGAGGTTAAAAATATAAGTAAGCTGCAGGATTTTCCTCAGGGCTTCTGATTCTACTTCTAGTTCTCCATCAGATCACAGTTACTTCTGTGGTGTAAATATATCAACATAAAAACAGAGAAACAAAAAGACACAGGCATAAAATGTGTCTTCTGTCTTTGTCACCTGGATTCTCCATGAAATAGCCAGATTGAGAGGATGTGACATGTGGGGCCTCAGAAACAGAAAAGAAGCTTTCCCTTTTCTGCACTAAGCTATTCTTTTCCCCACTGCTTGTTCTCCTTATTTTTTCATTTGGATCCTGGGATACCAAAAAAGTGAAGGTGCTCACTGAAATGAGGAACCAAAGTTTGTCACAACACAAGGAGCTGAGTGAAACTGCTGAGTTGCTAGTGCAGAATCCTGGAAAATGAGATGTTCCTCAAATTTACATTCAATTACCACAAAAGTTTATAGCTGGAAGATATACAGTATAGTTGTCCACTCTAGCCCCATTACCTACTTGATAAGGGAAGTAAACCAAGAAATAGTAAGTAACTCACCCAAAGCTCCTAAGGTGGCATTACCTAGCATTTCATGGCACCAAAAGGGAAGATACAATTACATATTGCTGAATTACATAAATTATCATATAAATACATCAAATTCATCAAATAAATTAAAAGTGTGACTTTGGCAAATCAATTTAATGGCTCAGAGGGTGGTGGGAGGCCTCATCTGCTTTTACTTTGAAAGAAGAAAATCTCTAGATTTTTGTCTATCTTTAGAACACAATATACAGAACTCAGCTTTCTACTCTAGAGCCAAATGCTAAATTTTTGGCTGAGAAGTTATGCTACTTATATGATAAAATCATACATGTCAAAACCTACCATATTTTATTTTATTCTATTTTATTTTTATCTACCATATTTTATTAAACAACATCACGTAAAAGTCTCTGACTCAACAGAAACATTGGAGAGTGGTGATTTTTCTAAATATGTGGAAGTGTATGTATTTGTTTCCAAAAATATTTAAAGTGGCCATGATGGAATTATAAGTTTAAACAGTTTGAGTCAAACAGATAAACCTGCATGCATAAAAGCACATTAAACAGACTTCTTTGGCTGGTAATATTTGCTGCAACTCTCAAGGTCAGCTACATTTTCATGTCTCTTCTCAGTCACTGCTTCCCTCCTATTGTATTACCATTTTATCATTTAAATAAATGTAATTCATCTTTAAATGAATATAGAAAAAAGAATCTAGACATTATTTCTTTAGCAATTTTCCTTATGCTTATCTGGTTCAGATCACATGGTATATCGCTAAATAATTTTCCCAGCCCATATGCCACTTGGAAGACTCATAGTGAGACTTAGGTTGATGAATGATCAAAGATTATGAGAATGTTTTCCAGAACTGTCATTTAGATAGCAGCACTAATCTACTTTGACACGTAATTACACATTTAGATAACCCCACTGTAACCATACACATGAGATTTTCTTGAGTAGAAAACCAGAATGAATCAGATAACTTATAATAAGAGAAGCAGCAAGGGAACCTCTTTCTTTTTATAGTTGAACTTTTTTCTTCAAAGCCAGGACCTCTACTTGTAACAAGCCCACCTCATTCTTAAGCCTTTGCATATCTTGCTGTAAGTCTTCTTCTAGATATGCTTTTGATGTTCTGTCACTATGTGGTGGAGAATAACTCACATTTTCTAATTCGGGTTTCATGCTTTTATAGATATTAGCAGTGGGACTGTCACATGTGGGTCCCTGAAACACACTTGCCAGTCATCTTTTAAGCTTTAGAAGAGCTTCTAAGTTCCATATGGCTTGTGGAACAAGCGCTGTATTGGTTTTCGGTTTTTGTAAGTGTCTGTAACAGCAGAAATACTGTGGCTTTCTATCTGCATCACATGCTTCAATTCTTTGGAGTGAGCAAACCACAAATCAAAAAGACTTTTTGGATTTCTAGACTGAGGCCAATGCCTAATGTCTAATTTCCAATCTGTGGTATTTTGGGTTATATTTTCTTGTCATTTGCATATCAAACTCTTGGTCTTCTTTCATTTCAATCATAACTACTGGGTTCCTTAATTTTTCAACTTCTGTATCATTACAACAATTCTCTTTCTTCTTCATCTCTGTGAGAAACAGGCTACATGTCTGGTTTGTTACAATTTTTACAGTCTGATTTATTTTCATTTGAATAAAGCTTAGAAGATGATTGGCAAGTGTGTTTGAGGGACCCAGAGTATAAATGCAACGAAAAGACCTGAGTGAGATGGGCTTGTTCCGTTCAGGCAATGCCTGGAATACTACAGAGTTAGACACTCCAGGTGCATCTGCTTCCTCACCATCAGGGATATGATTCATGAGATTACGGGGCACTCCCTTTAAGTTTGTCCCACTTTAGGTTTACAATGTAAGAGCTCTTCCTCAGGACAAACAGTAATTTTGGATTTTTCAAAACTTTCACCAATCTTCAGTTGAACTTTTTTGTAATGATTTTTTTTTTTTTTTTTTTGAGATGGACTTTCACTCTTGTTGCCCAGGCTGGAGTGCAATGGCATGATCTTAGCTCACCACAGCCTCTGCCGCCCAGGTTCAAGAGATTCTCCTGCCTCAGTCTATCGAGTAGCTGGGATTACAGGCATGCGCCACCACACCTGGCTAATTTTGTATTTTTAGTAGAGACGGGGTTTCTCCATGTTGGTCAGGCTAGTCTCGAACTCCCGACCTCAGGTGATCTGCCCGCTTCAGCCTCCCAAAGTGCTGGGATTACAGGTGTGAGCCACCACATCTAGCATTGTAATGAATTTTAAAAGAAGTCCTGAATATACAGATATATCGTCTTTATTACAATTCTTACTCGGTTCTGGTGCTTGAGACATTTTTTTGCAAGTGCAAAAGTGGAAAATTAATTTGCTTCTTTTGTTTCTCAGATGTCTTTTCTGACAGGGTGCATGTTTTAAAATTAACTTTATTCTAAATTAAGTATGAACAAAGAAAAAATAGAAAATAATTAAAATTGAACTGTGAAACATAATCTATGTTTTACTACCTCTAAATTACTGGATTATAACTAAGAAATAAAAATAATTTGCCTTGGCTTAATATAGGAGAAAAAAGTGACCAAGGAAGCCTAACTCTTTCTGTTTGTTTGGAGTAAACGTAATTCATTATGAATTAAATCTGCCAGAAATGGGTTCACAGATGATACATAGTATTCTAAAGGCTTTCTGTCTTGGAATGATTTTTACCTCAGCATACCCTAAATAGTGAACCCCTACAGTGAATTCATATTTCTGAGGATTAACTAAAGAGTAGGCAATTGCTAAAATATTAGAAGTCAAAATGAACACCAATCAGAAAGAGAAGAAAATGTTTAGATTCTACTCCAATGCTATACTGTAATATGATAGTGTTATCTAGAAGGTTATCTGCTTATATCCAGGTCTAATACATTCTAAGCTCCACTGGTGACAATGGGTTAAAAAATTTTTAAAGCGTTTTCTATATATGTTAAAACAAGAAAGTTATTGTTTGTACCCTGACACCAAAGTCCCTTTCTGGAAGGCATCATTCTCTCAATAGGCAGTTGGGTTAATTTTATGACCCCATCCTCTCCCTGAACATAGACACCAAAGGCAACCAGAAACCAAAAAACAGACGAAGTCTTTAACCTCAGCACTGGTGACCAGCAACATAAAACTGCAAAGTTCGAACCACTGGGAACCACTCCTTTAACATGAGGTGAACTCAGGGGCTGTCACTGTCCAATTATTCATAATTTCTCTTGCTTAGTAAGTAATACAGCTCCATTTCTGATGTTACCTTCTTTATCATGAAGAAGGTTATAAAAATGAAAGAGCAAAGAGAGTTCTGGAAATTTCTGGCCTCAATTCCAAAGGTACAGATAGCTATGAGTTACTACAGATGGTAAGAATATTTCAAATTTTATAACTGGCTAAAATGTTTTAAAATTCAATATGAAATTATGCTCTGTTGGATTCTAAAAGGATAGTCTAAAAGGTCACTTCATTTGGACTATGCCATGGTATTAAAGAAAAACAAGCAGACAAACCAATATTAAACCAGAAATTTAAATTGTTATATACCTGTGGCTGTTTATTTTCACTTCTTTCAAGTCTTTCTTGCTTTTCCTCTGAAATGACTTTTAAGTTGTGTTCTGCTGACAAATCCATATGTTTAGTGAAAATGAATGACTTAGAACAGTTAACTTAAAAAATTGATACAAAATAACATATACTTTGCTTTCTATATTGAGAGTTTAAATGAAGCTTTATGTTTACTGGAATATTTACATTTTTAAGAAACACTTCTAATTATCTGAAACTTTAACAACCCACTTGGGGAGACACTAGATATCAGCAGGTTCAAGCCACGCAAAAGTCTCAGTGTCAGCCACAAATTATTCCACCTTAACATAAGTAAACAAAAGTGCTGGAAACAAAACAAAATTTAAAAATACAGTGAAAACATATTAAGTTACACTTTACTATTCTCTACTTCATAATAGTATCTGTTTAACAGCATGCTAAGCGAGTTGTTATTTACTAATAATTTGCAAAATTTTTGTTACCGTTATACCTTTATAGTGTACACCCTGTTTTTTACATCTGAAATATTTCCTTCTACTATTCTGACAAATTTATTGTTGTGTTTTCAGACTCAGAATGTAGGCTGGGCACAGTAGCTCACACCTGTTATCCCAGCACTTTGGAAGGCCCAGGTGGGATAACTGCTTAAAGCAAGGAGTTTAAGACCAGCCTGGAGACCATAGTGAAATCCTGACTCTATAGAAAATTTGCCAGACATGGTGGTGTGTGCCTGTAGTACCAGCTATTCAAGAATTTGAGGCAAGAGGATCCCTTAAGCCCAGGAGCTTCGGTTTGCAGTGAGTCTCGATCATGCCATTGCAGTCCACCCTGGGTGACAGATTAAGAACTTGTTTCCAAAAACAGAAAAAGAAAAAAGGCTCAAAATGCTATGTGAAGTCCTCCTTGAATCTGGCTTTCTCCACATACACAGGCTCTCCTTCCTTGGGGCTCCCTTAGTACTTTGTCCATTTTTCTAGTGTCACTTCACCATCTGAACTGCACATCATGTCTTTGCATGTCTATCCCCTTTGTTGCCAGACTGTAGCAGTCATCTTTGTATAAACAGTCTTTATTTTACTAAATATTTATTGAGTTCCTGCTAAGTGGTAGGCACTGGGGTTTAAAGAATGAGAATAAAAGCTGTCAGGAATGGCTTTTGGAGAAAACATGCCTGGACTGAGACTTAGACAGTGAGGTTCACCAGATTAAAAGAGGCAGAGGGCAGGAAAGATAGTACATGCCAGGCAGTGGCAAGAGAGGGAGAGAAGCCTCCCAGACTGTATGTATTTGTCTACATGGGAGGGACGGTGACGGGGGCATCACCAGCAGCTCAGTAATGCCAGAAAAAGAGGCAGACAGAGAAACGGCTGCAGATGGAGATTTGGGCAGAAGCCAGTTTCTGAAAGCCTTATATAAACCAACTATTACTGTTGTTTCTTAAATTTTTTTAAAAAGCAAAACAAATTAGAAAAGCATAATTCCAAGAAAAAGACCAACATTTTATTTTATTGTATCTTATTTTACTTGATTTTTTATCAGAGATGGGGTCTCACTCTGCCCCTCAGGCTATAGTATAATGTTGTTATCATAGCTAACTGCAGGCTCAAACTCCTCGGCTCAAGTAATTGTCCTGCTTCAGCTTCCCAAGTAGCTGAGATCACAGGGGCAGAACACCACACCCAACTACAGTTTTTAAAAAATAGACACGGGGTCTGGCAATGTTGCCCAGGCTGCTGGACCTCCTAGCCTCAAGGGATGCTTCTATCTCAGCCTCCAACACTGCCAAGATCACAGGCAGGAGCCACCATCCCTGGCAACACCAATATTTTCAAATGAATAAACTGGAGCTCCACCGTTTTATTTTATAATGGATGGGTGAAAACCTTGTAATAGACTCATGGACTCCATGGATTTGTGACAAGGAAACTACAGCATTAACTACGGCTGAAGCTTCCCTTGTCTCCCCGTCTCTTCACATGGTTAAGAGCAGAGACACTCAGTGTCTTACCTTTTGCACCTTCTTTCCTTTTTTTCAAATTTGCAGGCTTCACAGCTGCTGTTTCTGCCAAACATGCAAGCTTGTTAGATATTCCTTCTAGAAAACATCATTCCTCTGCCTCCTTACCTGGCAAAGTTTCACTTATGCTGCAGGCTTCCCCTAAATCCTACCCATTTTTTTAGAAGCTTGCAGTCATCACCACAAATTTAAAAGTGCATGGCATCTAATGAACATAATACATTTCTAGTAAATAATAACTATATGCTCCCAGGTGACAACTATCCTCCATCTACCCTCTACAAAATGGGTCAGCACACTGCAGACCACAGGCCAAATCCTGCCTACCATAAGTTTTTTCTCAGTAAAGTTTTATGAGAGTACAGTCATGCCTATTCACTGACATGCTGCCTATGACTGCTTTCACACTACAATGGCAGGGTTGAGTAGCTACGACAGAGATCACATGGCCTTCAGCTGCTTAAATCGTTCTTGAAAAAGACAGAGAGAGAGAGAGGGAGAGAAAGAGAGAGAGAGAGAGACCCCATGGCCTAAAATATTTCCTATTTGGCCCTTTACAGAAAAAGCTTGCCAATCCCTGATTTACACCCTGAACAGAATGCCCTAATTCTCAAATCGAATCTAATGCCTCCCCTGCTCACAATTTTCCAATGAATTTCTAGAGCAAACACTGCTGGCTCCCTACCCAAGAGCAGTTCCTTGTTGTTTCTTGCTGGAGAATCACAAATTTGGATATTTCTTATCCCAATACCCCTCCCCAGCTTCAAAAGGTAAGTGATTATTCAAAGCTAATCACATAACCACATTTGCTTTCCCAGTGCCTGGTTTAGGAATGAACATGTGGTGTGACCCAGCCAATAAAGTATTACAAAAAGGGCTGAGCACGGTGGCTCATGCCTGTAACCCCAGCACTTTGGGAGGCCAAGGCGGGCAGAACACGAGATCAAGAGACCGAGACCATCCTGGCCAACATGGTGAAACCCAGTCTCTACTAAAAATACAAAACTTACCTGGGCATGGTCGCACATGCCTGTTGTCCCAGCTCCTGGGGAGGTTGAGGCAGGAGAATTGCTTGACCTTGGGAGGCAGAGGCTGCAGTGAGCCGAGATCGTGCCACTGGACTCCAGACTGGCGACAGAGAGAGACTACATTCCCGAAAAAAAAAAAAATTACAAAAAGTCCCCTGCAAGCTTCTGAGTTTTCTCCCAATTTAAAAGACACATGTGAAGAAAAGCAGCCCTTCCAGCCTTTAGATACTGTCTTGTGAGAACATGATGTTTGGAGCTGTTGCTAAGTAGCCAACCATGAAAGGAGACATGAACAAGACACTGCCAACAGCATAGCTGAAAGAGGAACATGTGGGATCCAATAATATCACCGGACAACCAAAACAAGCCTGGTTCTTATGGTTTGGCCACTGTTATGTCCTCTAGTATCTGCAGCCAAAAGCATTCTACCTCAGAAGCTTCCCCTGGCCCACAGGATAAGATCCACTCAGCTCTATACTATTAAAAGTCTTTTACTGGACTTGTTTCTAGACACAGGTAAACCAACAACAAAGTCTCTCCTAAGCCTGCCTTCACTGACACACACTGAACACGAGAACTACGTAATAAATAATAACTGTGAGCTGTTTTCACCTCATTACCAAGCTCTCCATATATTTTTTTGCACTAGTAAATTTGAGCTGCTCATAAACTCTACAAAGTTCACTCAGGTGTCCTATCTTTTGAACTTGCTCCTCGTGTTTTAAAACTTTCATTCCTCGTGGCTGCTGCTTCTGTCAAACATGCAAGCTTGTTAGATACTCCTTCTGCCAAGCATCATCCCTCTGCCTCCTTACCTGGCAAAGTTCCACCCACTCTGCACACTTACCCTAAATCCTACCCACATTTTAGAAGCTTGCATTCATTACCACAAATGTAAATGTGCCTGGAACATACTGAACATGATACATATGTAATAAATAATAACTATAAGCTCCCAGGTGACATTGGACACACAGTAAGCACTATTTAAGGTGGTAAATAAATAACAGTGGTAATAAAAATCTCCTAACTGTATTTTTTAAATGTATTTTGTAACATTGGAAAAATGCTTAGTCTATAAAAGATAAATGATAGTTATTTTTTAAGTGGATAAGTATATGAATGAATTAAAATATTTTAAAAATTCTGTTGAAAAAACACAAAAATTAACTAGTTATCTATATTCTATTATGAGCACCTTAAAGACAAAAACTATGTCAATTCCATCTTTGTCTCCTGCAATTTGCCAAACCTAACTTATAGAAGTGGTTTGATAAACATGTATGAAATTAACAGTGTCTTTATACAGTTCAGATTGTACAATGCATTAGGTGTTATATTTGTGTTATTGTGAACCATTTTTATAATTTTATTATAATTTTTTGAGCCTAGAGTTTGGCTATTGGAATATTTATTATGATCATCCCTTGCCTAATGGTTAACAGAGTATCTAATCTTTTCTTTTTTTTGAGATAGAATCTTGCTCTGTCACCCAGGCTGGAGTGCAGTGGCACATTCTCGGCTCACTGCAATCTCCACCTCCTGGGTTCAAGCAATTCTCCTGCCTCAGCCTTCTGAGTAGTTGGGATAACAGGTGCCCACCCCCATGCCTGGCTAATTTTTGTACTTTTAGTAGAGATAGGGTTTCACCATGTTGGCCAGGCTGGCCTCAAACTCCTGACCTCAAGTGATTTGCCTTCCTTGGCCTCCCATGTGCTGGGATTACATGCATGAGCCACCACGCCCAGCCTGGTAACAGATTATCTTGTCCCAACAAAATTACTATTATTATGATAATTAACCAGCACATAAAACAACACAGCTTGTTCTAAGAAGTGAATTTATCTCATGAGGTTCCAACTTATGGTGAATAAATTAAAAGTAGACCTTGTTTGTATAAGAATATGTAACATAACTTCTGCTTCTCGGGAAGGGATTACTTTTCTGTCTTCTGCATTCCGTAGGTATCTTCAGAAATAATCTCCTATTTGTATGGGTGCACACTGGCTCAGTTTTATGGTTCTTATTGCCATTTGTTTATGGTATCAGAAAGGGATTGTTGAATTCCCAGTTCTAAAGACAGTTACTTTCTTAGTGACACAGATTCCTGTGTAACGCACTTGACCCTGAACAACAAGAGTTTGAACTGCAGGGGTCTACTTATATGCAGATTTTTCTTCAGCCTCTGCAACCCAGAGACAGCAAAACCAACCATTTTCTTCTTCCTCAGCCAAATCAACCTGATGATAAAGATGAAGACCTTTGGGAGGATTCACTTATGTTTATGAATAGTAAGTATATTTTTCTTTTCTATGATTTTCTTTGTAACAGCTTCATTTCTCTTGCTTACTTTATTCTAAAAGCATAGTATATAACAATGCAACACATACCAATTATGTGTTCATCAACTGTTTATGTTATCAGTAAAGTTTCCAGTCAACAGTAGTCTATTAGTAATTAAGTTTGGAAGGAGTCCAAGTTATACTCAGATTTTCAGCTGAACATGGATCAGAGTCCCTAACCCCCACAATATTCAAGAATCAACTGTAATTAACATTTATTTACTATATATAAACCATTTACTATAAAAATTAAATAGAAGATCCATTTGCGTAACAAGTCCAATTTGTAACAATGTAATTATAGAGGAAATCGCAACATATTAACTTAAAAATCTAATTTCTTACTTATATTAATACAAAAATATAATGTAGAATTTTAGGGATCATAGGTAAGTAAATGAATTTTTTTCAGACAATACTGTTTGAGATTGAGAATTAGCTAGAACTAACTTTTTAAAAAACTCAATTCTAAACTAAAGAAATTAAATAAAAAAAATTATTATATATATAAATGTATATATTTTAAACTGCTCTTTTATGATTAAAAATATGTAATGTTATTTTATTTTGTTTTCTTTGGAGATACAGCCTTGCTCTTTCATCCAGGCTGGAGTGCAGTGGTGCGATCTCAGCTCACTGCAACCTCAATTTCCCGGGTTCAAGTGATTCTCCTGCCTCAGCCTCCCAAGTAGCTCAGATTACAGGTGCCCGCCACCACACCCAGCTAATTTTTGTATTTTTAGTAGAGATGGGGTTTCACAATGTTAGCCAGGCTGGTCTCAAAATCCTGACCTCAGGTGATCCACCCGCCTTGACTCCCCAAACTGCTGGGATTACAGGTGTGAGCCACCATGCCTGGCCTGTAATTTTGCTTTCTGAAAATCAGTAAGATCACCAAGAGACATGAGAAATTTACTATCAGAAGTCTTACCTTGATTGTCATTTCGAAGATGATTTTTAAGCATCTTATTTTTATGTTCCAAAATTTGTTGTTGAATGCTATGCATAATAAATGTAACAAAATTAGTATTTTAATAGTGATATGAAAAATAATTACCAAACATATTAAATTCTTAAAGCATTTCAGACAATATCAGAGCTAATATCAGAACTCTAATGTCCAATACACTTTAACATTTTAAGCTCTATAAACTTGTTAAGCTTCTAATTAAAGAAGAAAAACAGAAAGTACACATAAACTGAGAAAAGCATAGCTCAGTAAATTAATTTTAGTTAGCTTAACAGCCTGGAAACTGCCCTGCACTCAGAGTAAGTCCTCGCTCTGTAACCAATAGGTATTTCGTTTTCAGACCAGTTGCTTCTCTTAGGCTCCATGGTTTCTTCTAAAAAACAAAGATTTTAATACTTGACTTCACTAGGTTGTTAGGAGGATGTAATGAGTAACATGTTTAAATGTTCAGAGAAATAAAGCAATGGAAAATTTTATTCTTGAGCTGCATTGCTGGAACAATTTTGGAATCTCAAATAAAACCTGATGGGTGTTTTTTCATAGGTTCTAATATTTAAATGTCATAGTTTTCAGAGAATGTTATTAAGTGCTAATTTTGCTTATTGGTTCTATTCATTGTGGCTTGTAGTTCACAGCATTTTAGCTAGTTCATAACTTGTAACTAAATTTATATATAAATATATTATTATCTCATTAAAACATATAACCTAATTGTCCCCTATTACTGAGCTCATCAATCACACCAAGGGCAGAAAACTAATAGATGTCAAAACCTGGCTGGGACAACTAACATTCCTTCCCTCCCTCCTCAAACTCAGAGCCAGCAGGTCTGTGTTAGAGGCTGCATCTTCTGGGTCCTCTCCGACTGACATACAAGACAAAGCCTTGCTTGTATTGTTTTTCAGTTCCATGAAAGAGATGCAAGTTGATGTTTCCTCATTTTCAAGTCATGTACTAACAACATATTTGCATGTAACATCCCATATGCCACTCAGCTGTGTTCTCATTTCACAGATCACCTTACATGAATACTTCTATAATGTTCATAATAACAATTTCCATATCAGGTGTCTCCTGTTTTGGTTTGACTCACATTGTTTCCTTGAAGCTAGTTAACAAATAGTCAAATGACCTTCTGGGGACTGTGCAACATGTGGAATGCTTTCTGAATTTGTGTGCCATCCTTAGGCAGCAGGCATGCTTATCTGTTCTGTATTGATCCAATTTTAGAATATGTGCTGCTGAAGCAAGTATAAAGCCCTGTTTTATATATGGATATTCAAGAGTCATGGATGAGGCTTAGCTCTGTTAAATCCAAATTACCTACTTTAGATACAGAGAATTCTATTGAATGACTTCCTGTGAGGTAGAATTTTAAAATATTTTAAAAACTTGAGGTAGAGAGGCGAGTAGCCTGAGAGATTTTCATTATTATGGAAACACATTATTTGTGGGGCCAACTGCAAGTTGGTGCCCCCGATTCTATTGAAGGATAATGTGGAGCCTTTTACTTTCTAACAATAACTGCTACACAGGACAGAAAAAAGCCTCAAGGTACAGATGTGACAACAAAAGGCAAAGGGACCTCGGCTCTCTTCCTGCAACATTATTTGAACATCCCTAACTGTTGAGTACAATCCAACTAATATTTGCTAGAGAAAAGATGGACATTGGTCTCAAAGGATAACATGCCATGAAGGTATAGGCTAAGCCTAGTCAGGAGGTGGGCTACAAGTAAGGTTTTTAGTATTAGTTAGAATGTCAATTTACTCACTGTGTGTGTGGGTAAAGCCAGGAGGACTTGCTGTCAGAGCAGGGTGCCGAGAACAATGGCTGAGCCTATGTACATGAACTAAAAAACACTGTAGCTGTGGGCCGGGCACGGTGGCTCATGCCTGTAATCCCAGCACTTTGGGAGGCCAAGGCGGGTGGATTATGAGGTTAGGAGATCGAGACCATCCTGGCTAGCATGGTGAAACACCATCTCTACTAAAAATACAAAAAAAATTAGCCAGGCTTGGTGGCAGGTGCCTGTAGTACCAGTTACTCAGGAGGCTGAGGCAGGAGAATGGCGTGAACCCAGGATGGGGAGCTTGCAGTGAGCCGAGATCACAACTCTGCTCTCCAGCCTGGGTGACTGAGCAAGACTCTGTCTCAAAACAAAAAACAAAAAACAAAAAACAAAAAACAAAACCCACTGTAGCCTAGCTAAGAGGTGGGCTACAGATAAGGTTTTTAGTGTTGGGGGAAGTTCAGTTTATTCACTATGTGTGTGGGTAAAGCCAGGAGGCCTCACTGCCAGAGCAGGGTGCTGGGAACAATGGCTGAGCCTATCTATGTACATGAACTAAAAAAGCACTGTAGCTGTGGACACTGTGTATGAGTCACCATGAAGAGAGAGGGATCTGAATCGGTAAGGGCATACTGGTGGCAAAAGTCAATCATTACCAGATTGCAGGACCAGTTACAATGGCAGCAATACAGCAAGTGAATCAATGGAAACAACAGAATGACTAGAACGGCCTTTTCCCCCCTTCTTCTGACTTGTAAAGCAAGATTGTCTTCCTTGGACTTAGGGAACCCCTTAGCTTTTTGAAAAATCCAAAGCAGGAAGGCATAGGAGATAGCCCCAGGGGATAAATACAAGATTCTCTGCTAAACTGGACATTTCAAGACCCAATAACTAATTAGAAAAGTCAGTCCAGGCATGGTGGCTAGCAGTTTGTGAGGCCGAGGCAGAAGAATCACTTGAGCTCGGGAAGATCGGCAACATAGTCAGACCTTGTTCCAAAAAAAAAATAAATAAATAAAAATAAAATAAAAAAATTAAAAAAGGAAAAGACGTGACATTATTTATATCTCACATATAAGGAGTATACTTGGAATAAAATAAACAACACTGAGATCCCTAGGAATAAAGGTCTTTAAAAGTCCTGAAAGAATCGTGCACTCATTGCTACTTCTAACTAGTCTAGCTTTCTGTTTGATTTCTGGCTAAAAAGTGGACTAACTAGTGGCCATTCCAAACTACCTCAACCAAACTATGAACTGTCACCTAATGTATAAGATGCAATATTTGTAATTATTTTAAGCCTTAATTTAGTGTTAACCAGTCTTTTCATATAAGCACGTACCTCCTCAAATCACAACAAACAGCATAATCCTCGGCAGTTTGGCCAAACATGTCTTGAGAAAAGATATTTACATTTTGTTGAAGGAGGAGGCTGACGATACTTGACGAGTTATGCTGCACAGCAAGCATGAGGGCTGTTCTAATATAAAGAAATAACAGCACTCAAGAACTTTAATAAAGATATTTAATTAGCAAATTGGATACACTTTACCAATTTCATATCTTGCCTGTCAGGATAGACATAATAACCATTTACATGTACTAGCTTATGTGTATAAGCATCTTGGGTGCTCAAGTGTTCATCTTGGTAAATTACCACCAAGGCTAAAAGGCAGGGACAACAAGGAAGCTTCTTGTCCCATTGAGGTATGACATAATACAAGTTACTAATTTATAGTCCTTCGATGGCCAAGAAACTGTGCTGAGGTCACTTATCTAAAGTAGGGAAAGATTTAGATGAAGATTTCCCCATTGCTTTTCTAGTCTGATATATTGTAATTCAAAGTCAGCTAGGGGTCAAATAAGTAAGAGCTATCTGCAGGCTGAAAACAACAGCAACAACAACAACAACAACAATAACAATAATGGTAGTAGTTGTAAACTGAAAGTTAAAGTGTACACTTTATAAAATTAATAAAATACAAAACCCCTTTAGCTAATATAAGATTACAGAACTAAAAACATCAGATTACAAATAACAGTCTACAAGAGAAGATGAATCCTACTACATTGTCTTTTTTTACGTTGCTCAGTCCAAATAACTGCTTTTCTACCTAATTATTTACTATACGCCAATAATTATAAGCTAAACTTATTAACATTTCTGACTTGCGTGACTGTTACCACTCTAGAACACTCAGGTTTTTAGGAAATAAACAAACAAACAAAAAAAAAGCAAAAAACCCAAAAACGATTGCACCTTCTGTAATTGTCAACAGCATGTATATTTGCCTGGTTCTTCAATAAAAATTCCACCATTTGCTGTCTCCTAGAATTTATAGCAAACAAAAGTGGAGTGTTTCCTTCCTGTAAGAAAGCAAAAACAACTTATATTTCACAAAATTATGTATATCTCAACTGAACTAAAAATCTTCTATAAGATGCTATGAACTTAAACATGCAATAAAGAAAGTAAATGCAAAGCAGTCCTTTCCTTTTCACTCCTCTGTGATTTCCCACACACTGCCTTGCAAACACCTCTCCTCTGCCTCCCCAGGCTAACTTCAGTCACCTCTAAAACTCACTTTATTTACCAGCCCCCAAAACCCTTGCTTCTATCTCAGCATTTAGCACAGTACATTGTAATTATTTCATTGTTTCCCACTGAAACCAAGAGCTTCTTGAGGGCAAGGGCTGTATCTTTTTTCTCTATAACCCTAAAACCTAAGATATAGTAACAAATACTTTAAGTTTTTAAAATAAATTAATGATCTAAATTATTATCTCTAGAGCAGTATTTCTTAAGCTATATTTTAAAGAATATTTGTTTTACCAGAAGAACTGTACCCTAACAAAAAGATTCCATGATCATCTGCATTTGAGAAGTATTACAAAACTGTATTATATGGCCAACAATCTAGAAATCCCTTGAACTTTGCCTAATCTCGACAATATTTTTTATGGCAAACATTAACATTTTAGGAACTAAAATTGCAGGGATACAGTTGCCAGAGCTTCCCAATACAATTGGAGATTTCCTCTGGGTGGCACAAACTTGCTTGACTTAGTTCTATCAATGGTGTCAGGATGCCAATATCAGGCACTCCTCATCCAAAGGGATCACCAAGGAAATGAGCTCTGAATTAAGAGAGATTGCCTTCAAATGCACTTATTTTCCTTATCATTAAATAGGCCATGGGATTTTTCCTAATACAAGAGGATAAATTTTTATCTTAACTATTAGAAAGCTCAGTATGTTCTATGTAAGAAAGACCAGTTAAAACTTTTTGAAAATAAATATTAAAAAGCAAAGGTCAGTAAGAAATTCTATTCTCAATTATAATGATAATCCTGGGATGCTAATGCAACTTTACTTTTTAAATCCATTTGTATTGGTTTCCATTTAAATTGCTATTTAACTTTTTTTTTTTTTTTTTTTTTTTTACTTTAGGCAAAATATAAGTCAGAAATAAAAATACAATGGCTTATCAATAAAAGTTCTAATACTGATGTATAGGGCTTATTTCGAGCATAATAAAAGCCAATAAGTCACTTGCATTTTTAAGGGACATTGCTGAGAAGAAAGATATAATGTCTGCAATATTTATAATCTATCCACTTCTCAGCAGGAATGACCTAAAAAGGCTTCTAGGCATTCTCATGAGCAGATGACTATTTGTGGTATATATATTTAAAAAGAGTTAAAAAAAACTTCTGAATTCTAAAATTCAAGTCTATAATTGAGGGATTTATATAAACTATAGACTATATATTATGAACCAATATATGCTGTTTTGAAAACCTCGAAATCGTTATGGAAATATACTATAAAAAAGGAATTGTAAACTCAAATACTTATGAAGATGAAGGAGTTACCTAAGTAAGTGAAGTACTCAGGTGGGCACAGTAGGAAACTGGAGAATATGTGCCTCCTACACAGGACAACGTCTGCACAGCAGACCAAAAAGTGATGCGGTTCAGGGGACACCAGATTTGATTCTTAAGCCCGAGGTCCATATTTCTGCATGAGTCTACTAAATTTAACATGTTGACTCAATTTAAAAAGGCAAAGAAAAAAATCTGTGTGCCACATTTAGACTCTAGCCCTTGTGTTTTTATATTTGCTATGAATGTGTTACTAAATGATTGTGTATAAACCAAGTATTTGCAAGTGGAACGTTTTCTTTCTCTAGTATCATATGTTTAATAAAAAAACTCAGGCCCTGACATATACATAATAAAAATTGCTGTTAAGACTCATAATACCCACCTCAAGAATTTTCCCAACATTTATTCATTTTTCAATCTATGTGTATATCATTTTCCCAGATTGCTAACCAAATAGATAATTAGTTCATAGGACTGCGAAAACTGAATTATTAAAAGAATTCCTATTGTATTCTCACTGACTTCAAGGATTTCAGTGTTTAAAACTGACATCCTGATTATGCCAAAGCTCTATAAACTTAAGAGACACACTGAGATAGTCCCTAACACAACTTCAACTGAAAAAAAAAAAAACGGGTTCAGGATTTGCTACTAATCTAATTGAGAAAATCTCACTTGTAATGAACATTTGTTGACACATAATCACTAGAATGGTGACAGAGGAACATGAAATTGTGAAAGGGTCAGCCTCTACTTATTGAAAGATTACCCACAAGCAAATTGCTGAAGACTCTCTGAATGGCAGTGAATGATTCATGGTGGGAAGGAAAGAGTGTTATTCTGTAAGCTGAGAGCTGTTGCCAATGATATTTCCTTTCACTTCCCAGTCACAAACGTAGAGAAAGACAGATAAGTCAGGCTAATGTTATTGGAAAGGAGACCTTTGAAGAAAGTAGCACCTATCAAATGCCAACTCTTTTAGAGATTTCTTATGTCTTTGAGATACGGGAATTTATATACTGCACTTATCTATTCTTTGCTTCTTAATCAGGAGTGTATTTGAACGCTGAGGTATTTTTTTTTTCTCTTGCTGTTGTAAGAGACAAGAGTCTTACTATGTGTCTCAGGCTGAACTCAAACTCCTAGACTCAAGCAATCTTCCCACGTCAGCCCCCTGAGTAGCTGGGACTACTGGAACATGCCACCGTGCATAGCTTCAGACAAATATTTTTAACTGTACATGTTCAGAACTTATTATATCTATTACATCAAAATCCTCAGGGGGAAAGCCTACACAGGTAGACTTTTAACAAAATTTCCCCAGGTCACTGTAATGCACAATTCTAGCTGAGAATTACTGCAGCAGACAATCACTTCAATTTCATCTCTCACCCACATGGCCAGTATCCTTTATCAGGTTGGGATGTGGCCAGAAAGAGAAGAGTACGAGATAGTTATTTATGAAAACTACAGTTAATTTTCCTGGGTGTGGGTATAACAGGGACAAGTAAACTCAGAATCCCAGTTGATTTTGCTATTTATAAGCTCCTTATCTCCCACCTTCCCACCAAGACATTCTAGATTTAAAAGGAGAGTTTAGACTCTTATCTAAGTGGCTGTTTTTGCCAGGATGGGTAATAAGTTAGTTACTAACTTGTTCCACCCTTTGCTGAAGTGTTTCTCACTTCATCACCATCTACTCACTGCCAATCTGGTTTCCTCAGAGTCCTCTAAGAATTAATCTTCATGCAAGTTTCAATCTCTCTTTTTACCAAACCAAAAATGATTACCCCAAAGCTGAAGAGCATGTTGTCTCAATACATAAACTGGAAAAACAACAAACTAAAAAACAAAACCTCTTCTTGGCATTTTCCCTCATTACCTAATTTCCAAGTAACCTGCATGTTTTCGATTACTCTCCTTTCCCCTTCTAATTTTTCCCTCCTAAACCTTGCCAATGAAAGATACATCAAGTTTTTTTTTTTTTTTTTTAGAAAACTGTTAGCAGCAGCAAGACTTCCATTTATTGTAAGTTGCTTTAGTTTTGAGTTTTAAGATAAGGCCTCTTTCCAGAGTAATTTTTTTCCTGTGATTTTTTAATACTAATTAGAAAAAAAAATACACCTCGGGTAGGAAACAAATACTTGAAGAGAAGTTTTACCTTAACAAATTCATAAATATTTCCCATAAGTGCATTAAAATAGCTGTGCCCTCTAATGCTTCTTTAAAAGTATCAATATTTAAAGTAAAATTTTAGACAATTAAGTTATTTCAAAATGTTTTCATTCAGGAACACTTGAGTTCCAAATATGAAAAACTGACTCTTAACTATGTCAATGTTAAACATTTTGAAAAGAAAGTTGATTGATCTATACCTCATTTAGTGCTTCAATATTTGCATGGTGGGAAAGCAGTTTCTCTGCCAGTGAAGTCCCCTTATTATACACAGCATAATGGAGAGCAGTGTTGCCGTAGATATCCTTAATGTTTGGATTGGCGCCACGTTCCAGGAGAATAATGGCACAAGCCTCTTCCTGGCAATGTACAGCCTATTGGTGTTAGATAAAAAATTAGACTATAAATTCTAAGAATTCAAAATACATATTCCACAGGTTTCACCAACTAGTTATATTTAAATGAGATAAATTCATTTTAACTCTAAGTATTTAAATCAAATCCATTTCATGCTGAAAGAGTTGGCTACTATATACCTTCATTAAAGGTGTCCTGTTAAGTCTGTCATAGATGTCGATCTGGCATCTTCTCCTCAGCAAGAGAGTAACCACTTCTATATGGCCATGGACACATGCAAAATGTAGAACAGTCCTATGAGAGTGATAGGAGATTTCAGGAAATTGCAGTGCAGTATCTCAAAACCTACCCTGGTTCATGTAATTGTAAACATTGAATAGCATGTTATTCCTCTGTCTTCAAAACAAATAATTTTCTTTTGAAGAAAATACAATATTTATTAGCTCTTATTGCTCCCTACCTTAATGAAACAGCAGCCTATTTGGATAGAATAAGCTTGGTGTCTAGATTCAGTTCAACTATGGCTTGAGTTCTACTTTGAACTCAGTCACATACCAGCTATTGCTTAGACTTTCTGTGCCTCAGTTTCCTCATTAACAAAATAAAGATGACAACGGCAGCTAGCTCACAGGACACCATTATGATGCTTAAATGAGAATCTATGTAAAGCATTTAGAACCATTTCCAGAACAAACAACTCAATAACTGTTAGATTTTTGTTTGTTGAGACAGAGTCTTGCTCTGTTGCCCAGGCTGGAGTGCAATGGTGTATTTATACCTCACTGAAGCCTGGAACTCATAGGCTTAAGCAATCCTCCTGCCCCAGCCTCCTGAGTAGCTGGGACCACAGGAGCGCACCAGCATGATCAGCTAATTTAAAAAAAGTTTTTGTAGAGCAGGAATGTCACTTTGCTGCCCAGGCTGGTCTCAAACTCCTGGCATTATGGGAACTTACCACCTCAGCCTTCCAAAGTTCTGGAAGGACAGGTGTGAGCCGTGCACCCAGCCAGATGTTATAATTATTACTATTACTATTACTTAACAAAAACATTTTAGTTAAGTGAAATGATACAATTATGGCTTTTCTGCAGGATGATTTAAAGGTTAGGTCACATTTTAGTGTATCTGATATTGGAATGGCATTTATAATTCATAACTTTCTATAACTATAATTGGTAGCATTTAAAAAATCATCTTACTAATATAGAAAATAGTAGGGTATCACACAATCCATGAGGTCTTACATTAAGTAGAATATGGTGTACACAGCAGGTCTAGGGCAGTTCTAGGCATCTAAGTGGCACTTAAATATATTTTAATTCCTAAAAGTACCATGGGGAAAGAGCACTGAACAACATGTTTTCTTTAAACAAATTATTTCTTACTTTGATTTTTTAAAATGTGAAGGTAAAGGAAACTAATGATTGAGATGAACGGGTATGGCTCATTTTAGTCAACACTTAGATTTACAGAATATATGCAAATCAGATTTTCCAATGATTAATATTAGTATTTAAGACTGATACATTTTGAAAAGGGCAGTTAAAGGTTATCTCTTACTGTTTTCTACCTTCAGAAATGCTTTTGCTTGAAAGGAGGGAGCAAAAGTTTCAATGAGATTAAGTCCTACTATTCCTACTTTAAATCTCTCACATTGCAGGAAGTCAGGGACATCAAACGGAGGGACCGGCTTGAGCCGTGGCAGAGGAACATAAATTGTGAAGATTTCATGGACATTTATCATTTCCCTAATAATACGCTTATAATTTCTTATGCCTGTCTTTACTGCAATCTCTGAACATAAATTTTGAAGATTTCATTTTAATATGGACATTTACCAGTTCCCAAAATTAATACTTTTATAATTTCTTATACCTGTCTTACTTTAACCTCTTAATCCTGCTATTATAAGCTGAGGATGTACGTCATCTCAGGACCATTATTGTGTTAACTATACAAATTGATTGTAAAACGTGTGCTTGAACAATATGAAATCAGTGCACCTTGAAAAAGAACAGAATAACAGTGATTTTCAGGGAACAAGGGAAGACAACTATAAAGTCTGACTGCCTGTAGGGTCGGGCAAAATAGAGCCATATTTTTCTTCTTGCAAAGAGCCTATAAATGGACGTGCAAGTAGGGAAGATATCACTAAATTCTTTTCCTAGCAAGGAATATTGATAATTAATACTCTGGGAAAAGAGTTGCATTCCTTCGGGGGGAGGTCTATAAATGGCCGCTCTGGGAGTGTCTGTCCTATGCAGCTGAGATAAGGACTGAAATACTCCCTGGTCTCCTGCAATACTCTCAGGCTTACTAGGTTGGGGAAAAATTCTGCCCTGGTAAATTTGAGGTCAGACCGGTTCTCTGTTCTCGAATCCTGTTTTCTGTTGTTTAAGATGTTTATCAAGACAATACATGCACAGCTGAACATAGACCCTCATCAGTAATTCTAATTTTGCCCTTTGCCTTGTGATCTTTGCTTTTGTCCTTGCCTTGTTTCCTCAGAAGCATGTGATCTTTGTTCTCCTTTTTTGCCCTGAGACCTGTGATCTTTGTGATCTACTCCCTGTTTGTACACCCCCTCCCCTTTTGAAATCCTTAATGAAAACTTGCTGGTTTTGTGGCTCAGGTGGGCATCATGGACCTACCGACTTGTGATTTCACCCCCAGCAGCCCAGCTGTAAAATTCCTCTCTTTGTACTCTTTCTCTTTATTTCTCAAACCAACCGACACTTATGGAAAATAGAAAGAACCTACATTGAAATATTGGGGCAGGTTCCCTTGATATCTGGTGCTCCAATGTGGTTTTAATTTTTCCTAAGTGCATGTGGGAACCCGATTCCCTTTGGTAGGTGTGGAGAAACGTTCATTGGTTCAGTCCACAGAAACGCTTGTTTGGCTCCCTGACGATTGGTGAGTTGTCTGTGTATTCTCCAGGGTAACTATGGGTCACATGGAGTCTAAACATTATGCTTATCTCTGCTATATTAAACTCCTGTTGAAACCGGGAGGTGGTCACGTACCAATGGAAAATATGGTCACCCTATTCAGGGCAGTGGAAGAACACTGTCCTTGGTTTCCTGAAAAGGGAATGCTAGATGTGGAACTATGGGATCGTGTTGGTGCAACATTCCGGGAACTGGTCCCAACAGGAAATTATGTTCCCATCACTGTTTGGGGTGATTGGACATTGGTATGTGCCATCCTAATGACATAACAATCCCATGATCCCCTGCAGTTACCACAGCTTTCTGAATCTGGCGACCCTCTACTTCTTCCTCAGCTTACCTCTCCCACACAGCCTTCATTGTCTGCTCAGCCTCTCCCTTCGCCTACTCCTCCCCCACCTGATAATGTTGAGAATTCAATATCTAACTCCAGTGACTTTGTCTTAATGTCACCCCCTGATTATCTTATTTATTTTCACGAAGAGCCAGTACTTGAAACTCCCATGGCCCCGATTTGGACAGTCAGGGACCATATATATGCTAATTCTTCCCTCTTCAAACCTTTGCAGCATTTGCCTCTGGAGTCGCCTAATGGCTCCAGGACCAAACTACAATTTACCTGTAATTCTGCAGGCCCTCCCCCATCCATCGCAGCCCCTCACCCTCCTGTCATTTCGGTCCCTCAACTGGTCACTTTGCCATCCACTCAATCTTCTTCTCTGTACCCTTCTTCTCACATGGACGCCAGTAATCACTAGTATACTTCTGCCTCTTCTGCTCCTCCAATGCCCCTTTCTCACACTCTCATACCTGTCCAACCTCCTCAACCTCAGTTTCCCTTATCTACTCATGCTTTTCCTGTCACTTCTATGCCAACTCCATCTCATGTGCCTGCTCTTGAAACTTCCATTCAATGCTTATTTCGCCAAAACGAAGAAACAAGTGGATTAAATGTGCAGGCTTATATAGTCGTGCTGGAACCTCCTGATGCTCACGGCCTACAAGTACATCAATATGTGCTGCTCAATTGTACCTTTTTAAAAGAATTCAAGGATGCTTGTACCCAGTATGGTCCTACTTCTTCATATGTTAAAATGGTATTATAGACTCTTTGTACTGATGTCATTTTGCTTCCTCTAGACTGGGACCTTTGGGCAAAAGCTGTTCTAACCCTGTCTCTGCATTTACAATTCTGTACCTGGTGGTCAGAGGAGGCCCATCTGCAGGCTCAGATAAATTGGGCTGATGGCATTCTAATTACCAAGGCTCAGCTCACAGGCTTTGATAATTACTCTGATACTTCTGCCCAATTAGGCTTTGATGCTGTCACCATGGAACAAGTAACAAAGGTGTGTATGAGAGCTTGGGATAAATTATGCACCCCAGGCCAAGCTCTTGTTTCTTTTATTACTGTTAAACAGGGTCACAGTGAATTATATCCTGATTTTTTGGGCTAAATTACAAGATGTTGTTGAAAAATCTGTCTCTGATGAGTGTGCTCAAGGTATTCTCCTTCATATGTTAGCTTTTGAGAATGTGAACCATGAGTGTAAAATGGCCATGCATTCCATCCAACAACAAAATTTACCTGATCACAAGGTGTTCCCTGCATATATTAAAGCTTGTGAAGGCATTGGATCAGAGACCTACAAAGCTATTCTGTTAAAAACTTCAAAGTTTTTAACTTTGGAGCCAGCTCAACAAACACGGCCAAATGCTGCTGCTACTGTTTGCCCACCTTGTTGCAAAGGTAAACATTGGGCAAGTACTTGCTGCTCTAAGTATGACATAGATGGAAATCCCTTGCCACAGAACCATGGAAATGGGAAGCAGGGCCAGTCCCAGGCCCCAATATCAAATGGGACACCTCAGACTCAGACCAATGTTGCGTTTCCCCTTCAAGCGGTCCCAACGCAGCCCCCAGCACAAACAAATTTACCTACAGCTAATTCAGATGGGTCCCAGCCTCTTCTGTCTCAGTACAATGCTAGTCCACCTCCACAGTAGGGGTAGGGTGGTCGATCTCTGTAGTACCATTCCTCTAAATTTACTACCTAATTCTTTGCCTTTAATTGTCCCCATGGGGTCACTGGCCCTTTATCTCAAGGTTTGGTGGCCTGCTGTTAGGTAGGGCATCCACCTCTGCTAAAGGAATCAGCATTCATACTAGTCTCATGAATTCTGATTCCTCTGATGAGATTAAACTCATCGTGTCTGCCAAGGTTCCTGTTTCCATTTCAGCTGGTGAGTCAATTGCTCAATTACTTTTACTACCTAATGTTGTTTTAAACAAAGGAGACACGGGCCCTGGGATGGGCTCTGGTTGTGAAAAGGCCGCTTATT